AAGCAGGGACGCAGGAACAAAAGGCACGGCCAGGCACTAGGAAGAGAACATTGTTACTCTCCTGTGGCAGCAATCTCCGGCAGGAACAGCTTGTTTCAGCCAGAGCCTGCCTCTTTAGCTGAGGTGCAGCAGCTCCTGTTTCTCCCTTGGTGGCTCTCAGGGTGGCTGTCACACACACATTAGCCACAAACAAGCTCAGTAGTGGATCTGTTCCACAGGGATGAGTAAGAAGAATGGCAGAGCAGGCAGCTGGGAGCCAGGCAGTGGCAGGGCTCTCCTCCAGCACAGCAGCCTATTATGGGCTGTTTGGTTTCATTTTACCCAACAATGTGCTTAATTGACTTGGATTTTTTTAATGTGAGTTGTATATGCCTCGACAGATTTCTATTCAGGTCCTGATGTCAAGGAGAGCTTTGCCACACACAGTAGGGCCCACAGAGGCTGTGGCTCATGGACTGGTAATGAACCATCATGTTACAAATTGCAGCTGCATTGTCAGGCTGTACCCTGAGCTGGTACAGAGCCATTCAGGCCACACCTGCACCCCACAGCACATTGTTTCTCTTGCCTACAATTATCCACATCCTGGAGTGGTTAAAGTGCTACATGAACCATTGAAAGTGGATTTTTTTTTTTTAGAATAGGGGATACTTTTCAAGAAGCTCAGGAGTGCCAAAAGCAGAAGCAGAGGAAAGGATAAGGAGCACAGCCATATAATGGTGTGGACAGCAAGACTCGTTATATTTCATAGAAGAATTTAGAGTAATTAAGGGAGATTCTTTGCATCTTTTCTGAGGAGTGGACACCAACAAACTCTGAGTTTGAGGGCTGCCATCTGATGAGGGTCCAGGTTACTCAGAGTAATCTGTTAGAATTGCTTCTGCTTCCAGGGTATAAGCTTGGTGGCATCCTTTGTGAGTGCCTTACTTTCCCAATGGGAGCTGCCATGGATGTGAACACAATATGGTTATGTGCAATAAAGTGATGTCTGCCTGAGAGTAGAGGTTGGAGCTCATATTTTAGATTCCACTAGAAGCCTTGACCAGAAACGAGCTCAGAGGGCCACTAGCTAAAGACCTTGTGAAGCCACAACTCAGTAATGGACACCAGGAAACAAACTGTTTTATCTGCCCCTCTTAGAGCACAGGATAAGACCACTAACTACTGACTGTGCATGTGTGAACAGTGTCTGGGAAGTACTGGGCCAGGAGCCCTGGGGACTGCTGCTGTGCCTTAATGAGCTCTCTGGAGCCTTAGAGGGTGGCTGTGACTCAGGCAGAATTGCCAGCTAGCAGGAGAAGAGCCAGATGAGCAGTGGTGTCCCTACCTGCTTCTCTTCTGTGTCCCACAGCTGCATCCTATGACAAGCGAATTGCACTCTGGGATATTGGGATTCCAGACTGTGACTACAATTTCAAAGCAAGGTAAAGGTTTAAAAATCAGATGTGGCCAGCCCAAGAGCCTGTAACTATCACGTCACAGCACCACTTAACTGCTTGTTCTCTGCTTTTTTTTAGCCAGCTGCTGGTGCTGGAAACCGCCTCTGTCCCCCTACGGATTGCCCTGGTCCCCACCTGCCCAGAGCAGTACCTGCTGGCAGGCTGTGAAGATGGCTGTTTTGCCTGGAATATAAAACTGGATAAGGGACAAAAAAGCAGGTGAGAACCACAAGTTGGGGGTGTGCATTTGCTTTCCAGAACAAGAAGGGATAGTCCTAGCAGAGGCTTGATTTCTAACTGAGCAAAAGCAGCACGTCCTACCAAACTTAAAACATCCTCCCCTTCCCAGAGTGGCCAGAAAAAACAGGAGCATGATGCTCAAGGACTGTTCAGAGCTTGTATTAAAGCTGCAGGTGTTGCAGGCTGCTTTGCAGGAAGGCTGGCAGGACTGTAATCCAATACCCCAAAACTTAAGGGTGTGTCATCTCCAGGTAGTGTAACGGAGTGTAAACTGTTGGATCGATTTCCAGGGTCACAGTGAGGCCTCCCCTGCTCCTGGTATGTAAGGTAACCCAGGAAACTGGGGCCCTGTGAGAGCTCAGGGGAAAGTTAAGAGGAAGAAGCAAGTAAAGTCATGCCCTGCTGACAAATACCCTGATGCCTGCAAAAGAGATGGAGTGCAGCAATCTCTTGAGCAAACAGGCTTCTGCTGTACTACTAAACCCAGGTGACCAAAAGTGTAAATTCAAGTGGGAATTCACCTGAGCTTGGAAAGAGACTCACTAACAGACAGATTTCCTTCTGGGTTCTGCAGCCAGGTGCCCTTTCACTGCTGGCTGTTCAGGACTTGGCTGATTTCACCCTTCCCCCTGCTCTAGGCCTTTTGAAGCCATATTCCAGTTTCCTGGTGAGGAAAGCATGACAACATCTCACAGGGTTGATGGTTTGGCTTTTCTCAATGATGATGTTGTTGGTGAGTATAAACACAACAGCACAATCCCAAAAACAGTGGGGCACTTCAGCATGTGCAGGGTGAAGCCAGCATGACAAGCAGAGGGGCTGAAAGGGGTGTGACAGCCTCTTTAGCTTTTGGGGGGCTGCACAGGATGGAGTTGACTTCCAGAGTCACTTGTCTTTCCCAAAAATATGGCCTATAGTGCACACCCATGCTTGGATGGGACCAGAAATCAGCTGGACACATCCCTGAGAGCACACATGGCCAAACAGTGCCAATGTGGAAGGGAGAGAGTCTCTTTCTCCTCAAGGGCTGGTGGCTCAAGTATTTTTTTTCAGGGGAACTGTGGGTTTCACATCATGGGCTGGCTCTTTCTGAACAACAGCTCAGGAACATAAGCATAGCACTGAAAATCTCTCTGCAAGCTCCAACAATCCTGAAATAAGGTAAAACAGGTGCAAACAGTTGCTGCTGGATCAGATCCCATGGTTTGAAACCCATATTCTGGATGGACCACCTCTGTCTCAGTGCACTTTGCTTCCCAGCAGCTGCCACAGCCTCTCCCTTCCTTTCTGCCCTAGTTTCCAAGAGCTCCAAACCAGGATGCATATACTTGTGGAGCTGGAGCAAGTCTTTTGATGCCAAGGGAAAAGGATGCCAGCGGACAATGTCTGCAGTTATTCTGGCTGAGCTGGAGTGGTCCACAACAGACATGTCCTACCTGACACTCAGCACCTGCCCAGGTAGGAGCACTCATTTCCTGGGAAATGCTTTGCCCAGTTGTCCATGGCTCTGCTTTGATCCATGGGAGCTGGAGGCAAAGGCTTGGATTTCAGAGCTTTGCTCTCCCCCTGCAGCGCAGCTGGGTGGAAATAACCCCAGTAATAAATAATTACAGCTGCACCTTCTCCCTGATAAAGGGGGACAGTTGAGGCTGAGGGGTCTTTCTTGCACAGGTTTTCAAAGCACAGAGCTCAGGGCTGGGCCCTGTGGAGCCACTGGGATGCTGAGTGCATCTGTGGGCAGCGATGTCACACACTGGGCAGCTGGGTTTGGAGACTGACAAGGAACAAACAAACCTGATCCAGTCAGCACTTCCCAAAACCAGTCTAAAAAAAGTCAGGAGAAATCCCAAAGCATTTAGCACTAGCTTTTCTACACTAAACATAGCTGGTTTGTCCTCAAATGAATTCTTTCAGAGCAAGGTAGAATCATATTTTTGTGCCAGTAAGAGAATTTTGCTGAAATATGGCACCCTCCATTGGGATCCTGCAGCTGTCCTTTACAGCAGAACAGACTCCCAGCTCCACACTGGTTTCCCAGCTTTTTCTTCTGCTCTGACAGCAAAGGAGTACGTGTTCTGTGGGGATGAGAAGGGCAGTGTGTGGATGTACAACCTCTCCAGCTACACCACGGCCTGGGGCTCTCCGAAGGGGAAGCGCTCGGAGCGGAGGATCTCTCCCACACAGGTAGGGCTGAGGTGCTCTCAGGGCCTCCACCCCAGGGCAGCTGGTCCCACTCTCCTGAGCAGGCTTATCCCAGAACGTGCCTTCTGTTCCCACAGCTGACCCTCACAAATCATTAAAAGCGATATCCAAAGCGTGGCCAAGGCCATTCACTGGGATAGGAATGAGGAGCTGCAAAGCAAATCCATCACCCCCTGCAGCTCCTCCTAAAACAGCCCTAAAAAAGTGGAGAGGAACACAAAAGCACAGCTGTGCAGGCAGCACATCCCCCAGGGAGGGGAGGGAAGCCAGAGTGAACATCCCCTGGCAGGACAGGGCTCACTGCTTCCCTATGCACACTCACCCTTTTTCTGCCCAGCATTTCCCTCTGGAGACAGCTGGGCAGGCACTGTTCCCTTGCCTGTCCCTCTGAAAGGACAAGCACAAACACTGCAAAGGCTCTCAGCCACTGCGCTGGAGCTGCATTAGAGGTGTGAAGTCACACAGTGTTGCATTATTTCTTCCCTATAAGGGTTATTCAGGGAGCCACCATCCCTGGAGGTGGCACTCCGAGCTCTGCTCTGGGTGACAAGGTGCTGCTCAGTCACAGGCTGCACTCCCTGCTCTGGGAGGTCTTTTCCAACTCAGCAATTCTGTGATTCCTCAGGTTTTGTGGAAGTGCATTGCCAAGCCACCTATCAGTTCCTCTGGGACCGAGGTGCAGCTGTTCTCAGCTGTCCCTCCCTGTGCACTAAGCCCTTTAGGAACATCCCACAGCCCTCAGGAGAGGGAAGAGCCCATGCCTGAGGGTGCCCAGGGCCCCTCAGACACGTCCCCACCCCCTCTGCTCTCCCACAGATCCTCAAGTGGCCAGAGCTGCGGGTGAACGGGGAGCAGCCCCCCGAGATCCTGGTGAACAACGTGGTGGCAGACCCTGCCTTCAGCTACCTGGTTGTGCTGACCAGTGTGAACATAACAGCCATCTGGAAGAAGTCCTAGGCCCCTGTGCCACAGTCCCACCCCCGTGCTGTGACCTAGTGCAGTATTAGTGACTGTTACCATGTGCCCATCGACCTTTTCTAGAGCAGCTTTATGTGCAAGATGGAGAAAATAAAAAAAAAAAAAAACAAAAACAAAAAAAACAAGGTAAGAGTTTGTTAAACTCATCAGTTCATTGTAAACATCCGGTTTCTTTTACTGTTAAGTTTTCACAATTTGTGCATTTGTTTTGTAGAAATCACACTTAATAAAACAAAATACCAGTTCAGCTGGCAGTGCCTGGAGTTTTTGGCAGGAAAAGCAGAGAGTTCACTGAGCAGCTTCTCATGCTGGAATTGCACCTACAAAAACCTCCCCAACAGCCCAGGACAAATATTTGCCTCAAGGCTCCAATTAGAAAACTAAAAATCACTTTAATGACTTATCTACCAAATCCAACACGATGTTTTATCCTCCTGGCAAAGTGCCTGTCTGCTATGAAAATAAAACCAAAACTCAAAATATTGCTGCTGCTGTCAAAAATTAAACAGAAGTGGGACAAGGGGAAAAATATTTGCCATGAATGGAGGTTTAAATATTTAATCCAGTAACAGACACGTCATTCTGCATCAGAAGTAACAGTCTGCTCCATTTTACTCAATTCCTTCTTGTTTGTCCTTAATAGCAACCTGTAAAGCAAAAGCAAAAATACACATGGTTAGACAAGAGTTGTTACTGAGCTGCAGGTTGGTGTTTAATAATTCCTGACTCTTCTGTGAATCACAACCCAGTGGAAATCTCTACAGCAAGCAGAATACTGAAATTAAAATCAAAACTTATTTACAAATTGGTGCCTTTTCTCAGCACATCAGAGGTACTGTTTCAGTCACAGCCTCCCTGAATTTTTCTGAGTAAGATTAAATCTCAGGATTAGGGGGCTAAATCAATAAATAAACTGAGCAGAAGCGATGAGAGGTGAAAATATGGGCTCAAAGCTTTGTCAGAAGTAGAAAAAAGAAAATAAAAATGCACTTAAGAGCAGCCAGGCTTTGACAGCAGCTGAACAACACAAGGAGGGTGGCTTGAATTAATTCACCAACCTCAAGCCAGCAGCTTTAAGACACATAAAAACAGTATAACAAGGCCAAACAAACAAATAAAAAAAAAAAAATACAAGTATAACAAGGCCAAAGAGTTTTAAGGAAAACAGTGCCCTTACCCTGAACCTCTCTTCCAGCAGGGAGAGCTCACTGATCAGGTCCGTGATGGCATTGGTGAAAGCTTCCTGCGGGCTGTAATCTGGGGTGGTTTGGACACGGATGATGATTTTATGTTCCAGAGGGTGAGGGACCTTGTACCCTGCGAACAGCACCTGCGGGTCCTTGAGCAGCTGCCTGGGACGGAACAAAAACCCAACCCCGGGAAATGAAGGGCAGGAAAATCCCAAACCTCCCCGCAGTCTCCTCCCCGCTCCAACTTACGACTTGATGATGTTCCCGAGCGTGTGGTCCTCCTTGTTGATGGTGAACAGGCAGGCGTTGGGCACCTTGGTGTCCTTGTTGATGGTGATCCTGAGGTGTTACGGGATGCAGGGGTGTTAGCGATCCGTGCGCGCCAGGGCACGGCGGGGACTGGGGGGAAAGGCCCGCTTCCCCCCGCTCCCAGCCCCCCGCGCTCTGATCAGGGTTAATTACTCGCCCCCCGGTATCCCCTCACTTTTTCTCGCCCTCGAAGAGCAGGAAGGACTCGAAGGCCGGCGGCGCGTTCATCGCGCCGTTGCTATGGCGGCCGCCGCTCCGCTTCCGTTACGTCACTTCCGCCCGCCCGGGGCGCCGCGCAGCGCCCCCTGGCGGGCGGGAGGACCCGCCGCAGCAATGGCGGCGGCGCCGAGAATGGAGGCGGCCGCCTCAGAGCCACGGCCGGGAAGGGAACACACACCGGTGACACCGGCAGCGGTGTCCCCACTGGAGCACCACGGCCGTGACCAGCTGGCACCAGCAGCAGGGCCATGAGCAGAGACTCCAGGGCTGCCACCACTGCCACAGCAGGCCACCAGAGCCACCAGTGATGGCAGCAATGCTGCCAGCAACAGAACCAGCAGCAGGAGGGCCCTCAGAAATGGCACCAGCAGGGACAGCGAGCAATGGCAACATCAGCAGCGCCACCAAGAGAACCCCCAAGCAGGCCACCAGTGGTGCCACCAGTGATGCCACCAGTGATGGCACCAGCAGGACCCTCAGAGGTGTCACTAGTGTAACTGTGAGCAGTGCCACCATCAGTAGTGCCACCAAGAGAACATCCAGCAGTGCTTTTATCAGGCCACCAGTGGTGCCACTGGCGATGCCACCAGTGATGGCACCAGCAGGACTCTCAGAGATGTCACCAGTGTACCTGTCAGCAGTGCCACCATCAGTAGCGCCACCAAGAGAACCCCCAGCAGTGCTTTTATCAGGCCACCAGTGGTGCCACTGGCGATGCCACCAGTGGTGCCACCAGTGATGCCACCAGTGATGGCACCAGAAATGGCCCCAGCAGGACTCTCAGAGATGTCACCAGTGTAACTGTCAGCAGTGCCACCATCAGTAGCGCCACCAAGAGAACCAGCAGTGCTTTTATCAGGCCACCAGTGGTGCCACTGGCGATGCCACCAGTGGTGCCACCAGTGATGCCACCAGTGATGCCACCAGAAATGGCCCCAGCAGGACTCTCAGAGATGTCACCAGTGTAACTGTCAGCAGTGCCACCCTCAGTAGCGCCACCAAGAGAACCAGCAGTGCTTTTATCAGGCCACCAGCAATGCCACAGGTGATGCCACCAGAAATGGCCCCAGCAGGACCCTCAGAGGTGGCAGCAGTGTAACTGTCAGCAGTGTCACCATCAGTAGCGCCACCAAGGGAACCCCCAGCAGTGCTTTTATCAGGCCACCAGTGGTGCCACCAGAAATGGCCTCAGAGGTGGCAGCAGTGTAACTGCGAGCAGTGGCACCAGCAGGGCTCTGGGCAGTCCCGTCCCCAGCAGACACAGGACACGGCCGCAGGGTACCAAGTGCCTTTATTGCGGGGCCGCGCTCCCTCACGTCTGCAGCCGCAGCAGGGCCGGGCCCGGCGGCGGGGGCAGCTCCCGGCGGTGGCAGCGCTCCAGCTCCCCCAGCACCGCCAGCAGCCGGCTCAGCCCCTCGGGCAGGGCAGCGTCTGCGGGACAGGGCGGGACAGGTCATCCCCACAGCCCCTGTGACCGCCGGGGACACCGCCCAAGCAGAACATCCCCAAACCCCGCACCCCAACCCACCTTCACCGCGGGGGCCGTTGCGGGCCGCCTCCGGCTCCTGCAGCTCCCAGTACTTGTCCCTGCGGAGAGGGGAGAGGGACCGGCCGTGGCAGGAGCAGCGCGGCGGCGGGGCCGGTGCGGGGGTCCCGGGGCCAGGGGCTCACCTGAGCGTCCCCCGCAGGCCCTGCAGGTGCTGGAAGAGGCGCTGCGCCTCCACCGTGGGCTCCAGCGGGTCACTCCAGTCCTGCAGGGTGACGCCGTGCCGGGTCCGGTCGCATCCCAGCCCTGCGGGGCAGCGGGGTCACCGTACCGGGGGGACAGCCCGGCACCCCCGCGGGGCTCCGGGGCCACCTCCGCGTACCTGTCCTGTCGCGCTGGTGGCAGCAGCTCCACTTGTCGCCGCGGAAAACGCCGGGGTGGTAGGAGCGGAGCACGCGGGGGTTGTTGCCGCACACCTTGCGCAGGGCTGACAGCCACTGGTTCAGCTCGTTGACACACTGCGGGGTTGGGGACAGTCGGAGGGTGCCCCCGCCGTGCCACCGCCCGCGCCGTGCCACCGACCGCGCCGTGCCACCGCCCGCTGTCCCCGCCGCACCTTGCACTGCAGGTAAGCCGTCTCCTGCTGCCCGCCCGTGGCCATGTAGACCACCTGCATGACGTGGGAGCTGCCGAAGCTCTTCTCCTCCACCTTCTCGGCCGCCAGGATGTCGCCCAGGGCGATGGCACCGATACGCTGATGGAAAGGACACACACGGAGGGGGTCAGCGCCGCCCCGCTGCCCGCCCCCCCGCCCCCCCAGCACGCCCGTACCTCCGCACCGGGGCTCTTGCCGAAGCTCAAGGACTCCGCGGTGAGGCAGAAATGGAGTTTCTTGCCGGCGGCAGCGGCGAGCAGCGGCCCCTTGCCCCGTGTCTTGTGCACGAGGAGCATCCCCTCCTTCACCACGGCCGGCGAGGGCCCCAGCGGCCGCCCCTCGCCCTCCTCCTCGCCCTTGTCCTCCTCCGTGCCCACCAGGCGGGTGATGAAGTCCCTCATGCGGGCGGTGCCCTCCTGCAGGGCGGGCAGCAGCGGCGACAGCCACGTCTCCTTGGCGCGCCCGGCCGCCGGCTCCATGTTCCCGACCAGCTGGATGGCCTGGGGACCGCGGCGGTGGCAGCGTCACCCCCAGGAGACCCGGCCGGCACCCCAAAGGGCCGCCCCGGTGTCCCCTGTCGCACCTTGGCCAGCAGCAGCAGCGTGCGGCTGGTCCGCGCGTCCGCGTGTGCGGCCCGCAGCTGGAACAGCTTGGGGGTCATCACGGCCGGCGAGAAGAAGCGCAGGCACAGGAAGCTGGTGACAGCCACAAATTTGGCGTGCTGGGACCGCCGAGGGGTGGGGAACACACGTGAGGGTCTTTCCCAGCGTGGGACAACCCCACAAACAGCGATGCACCGGTGGCCGGGGCTGCTGCTTGCTCAAGAGGGGACCCCGCTGACCACACTGGGGACCACACGCAGAGAGCGCTGTCCCCTGGGGATGTCCCCGTTTGAGCCCACGGCATCCCCCGCACAGCCCGACCTGGTGCTGCGGGAAGCGCTCCCCGACGCGCTGGAAGAGCTGGCGGAACGCGGCGCGGATCAGGGGCGGACACGCCGGCGCCGACCTGACGATGGCGTCCAGGAGCTCGCCCAGGTAGGACTGGAGGTGCTGTCGGCCCTGCTCGATCACCTCGCCCTCCGTCTGCACCCGGTGCAGCCCCGAGCACCTGCAGGCACCGTCACTGTCACCCCCAGCGCTGGGGCCACCCCTGCCCTGCCACCCCACGAGCCCCTTACCCGACGTCTTTGATCTCCACCTTGCCGGGGTCCAGCTCCACGTATTTCTTCTCCTCAAACACGCGGGTGATGGTGGGGCCCAGGACAAAGTGCAGGTATGGCATCCCTGTCACCTGCCGAGGGACCACACAGGGGACAGGGATGGGCCACAGATTTGGCACCCGATACCCCCAGGGTCACCCAGTGGATCTTCTCCAGCCTCCCAGCCCTGGGGGAAGGCACAAGCACAGCATCCCTCCCAGTTCTTCCCCTGGGAACAGCCCAGGGCCAGGAACAGCTGGGAAGAGCAAGTTTTGGGTGGTGTGGCACCTTGAGGAAGGACTCCATCGACTTTGAGGCCAGAGAGTTGCTCCGGAACAGAGTGTTGGGCTCACCTGCAAAACAGGAGAGGGTCCATGGCCTGGGGAATGGCCTCAGGTCATCCTGGGCAGCTGCAGTCATGGGGGTCATTCCTAGGGGCTGTGCCCCGTCCCCCTGGCCATTTCCATGGGGGCCATGGGGATTTCCAAACCTCAGCCCACCTGCTCCTCCACCAACCTCAGCCCATGAACTGCTGGGATGAGCCCAACAGATTGCACAGTGCGATGGCTGAGCCTCAACCATCACTCCCAAAAAAATCCCCACAAAAGGCCCTGGAGGTTTTGCAGCCCCAGGAGATGATAAGGAAGCCTCCAGGACCACTCCCCATTCCAGCCTTACAGGGCTTGGCCAGCTCCAGCTCAAAGAGCAGGTCCAGGAACTCCTTGACCAGCCCCTGGCCCAGGAAGAGTTTGACCAAGTTGATGGCGACCTCCTGCCGGCACTCGGCCGTGGTGGTTTCGTCCAGGAGGGTGACCAGGTGCACTTGGCCATCCTGGAGGGAAGAGGCACCCTAAGGTGACAGCCCGAGGCAGGCAGACACCACAGAGCTGGGAAATGTGAGTGCTCCAGCAGGGCTGGGCATGGACCCCTCACCTGGCGCCCCAACTTCACCTCCTGGCACAGGAGCTGCACCAGGGGCTGGTAGCAGTGGGAGGGAAGCACCGTCTCATCCCGGAGCTTCACCTGCAGCTGCAGCGAGCCCAGGCTGCCCCGGCGCCTGCAGGAGCACAGGGAGGGTGGGTGAGTGGGTGGAGGGGTGGATGGATGATGGATGGATGGATGGATGGATGGATGGATGGATGGATGGATGGATGATGGATGGATGGATGGATGGATGGATGGATGATGGATGGATGGATGGATGAATGGATGGATGGATGGATGGATGAATGGGTGGATGATGGATGGGTGCATGATGGATGGGTGGATGGGTGGATGGATGATGGGTGGATGATGGGTGGATGGAATGGGTGGATGATGGATGGATGGATGGGTGGACGGATGGATGGATGGATGGATGAATGGATGGATGGATGGATGGATGGATGGATGATGGGTGGATGATGGGCAGATGGAATGGGTGGATGATGGATGGATACTTCACCAAGCAGGAGGTGGCCCAACACCCCAGGCTACCCCTCCAAAATGATGATGCTTCCCAGAAAAACTCCCATCCCTCCTGAGGGCACTGGCACCACCCCCAGCACACCCCAACACCCTGTGCCAAAACTCACTCGTCCTCTGTTGGCTTGGACTTGTCTGGGCACAGCCTGAACCACCCCTCCTCCTGCCCAGCTGCTTCCAGCCCCTGGACACTGAACACCACCTGGGAGGGGAAGGCAGGAGAGGCCTGGGTGTGCAGCTGGGCTGGACCCTGGCAGCACTGAAAGGTTTGGGGCTCACCTTGCCCAGGAAATCATTCCTGCCGACGAGGTCCCAGTCCCACACCTCCACGCAGAGCTTCTCCTCAGCAGGCTCGGCCAGCTCGAACTCGAAGGTCTCGTTCCAGCGAGGGTAACAGGATTTCTTGACCACCTGCAAAGGCAACAGCTTTGTCCTCTCTTGCTGGCTGGGTCTGTCCCTCAGGGACACCAAGCTGGGGATGCTGGGGGACAGGGATGGCTCTGGGTTCCCCGTGGACGGATTCCACCTGCACCCCTGGCAGGCTGGGCATGGCTGAAGCCGCACTCACGGTGCTCTCCTGCGTCTTCCCGTTGTAGCGCAGGCGGACAAAGGGGTCGGAGGCACCATTCCGGTCCTTCCTGGCCAAATCCCTGCCGAGGAGAGGGGGAATTTACCAGCAACCTCCCAAAATACCTACAGGCACCCGTGGCACCCACTCTGCTCTCAGAGAATCTCAAGATACATGTCCCAAAGACCTGCAGATGAGGTAGACCCTGACCCAGCACCCCCATCTGGGTAATGAGGAGGGTGCTTTGCACCCAAAGGACCGGATACAGCAGGGAAACTGAGTCATGGAGCAGCTCAGACTCGGCACCCATGTCCCAGCTGCACACACAGCCCCTGTCACCCTCGTGCCCCCTCTCACCTGGCCTCCAGCACGGAGCAGCGCAGCCGCCGGCTGACCTGGCTGCCCAGGACCTCCACCCGCAGGTGGATCTCCCCCTGCACCTCCTCATCAGGGTCCACCTCACTGAGGCTCATCCAGCCGCTGTATCCTGTGGGAAAAGGGGGGATCCCCATGAAGGGGTCATGGGGGAACCCCTCAGCACCAGCTTGTCCAAGGGGTGGGAAATGGGTCCCTCCTGGGACCCCCAGCCACGCTTTCCCCTACCCTTGGGGTGCTCTGCCAGCATGTCCCGGGTGATGCAGACCTTCCCAATGATGTCATCACGGCTGGAAAACAAAAATGGGCAACAGGACCCACCATGGGATTGGTGCCCAGGTAGGACAGCCCCCACTTTGGGGGATCCTGGACAGGGGCCACCATGGTGTGTCTGTCCCCACGGAGCACATCAGCCACCCTCTGCTGCCAGCTGGACAATATCCTCAGGAGATAACTTCACCCATCTGTGTCCCAAAGCCCAGGGCAGCGTGGCCAGCTGTGGATTCTCTGGTGGCAGCACCAGGCTGAGCATGCAGGGAGCCAAAGCCACCAACAGAAAAGCCACCAAACAGGAAAACCACCAAGGCCCAGCACACCTGAGGGCATCCTCGTCCATGACGTAGATGGAGATGCTGTGGAAACCAGGCTGGAGCTGCACCTCGTATTCCTCCCCCCAGAACGGGGACAGCGTCTTCCACACCGTGGCAGTCCTGTGGGGCAGGTGGCACTGGTGACAGGGGGGACAGGGCTCCCTCTCAGGGGTACTCCCCAGCCCGGGGACCTTCCCAGCTTTTGGGGACACATGGCTGGGGGAAGCACCCAGAGTTTGAAAGCCTCAGCTGGGGCAGGGATGAGTCTCTGTCCCTGTCCTTGTCCTGTCTTGTGGCTCTGGGCTGGCAAGGCACAGGGGTGGGGTGGAGGGGAAGGGGGTCATGAGCTGTTAGACACTTCTGTGTCTGCAGGAGCACCTCAGCCCAAAGTAGGGAATAATAATGAATGATAAATAGCAATGAATAATGATCTTAACAATAATCATAGCAACAATGTGCCTGCAGCAGATGGAGACACCTGCCTGGAGCAAGGTTTGGGACTCCAGCAGTTTTAGGGACCAGCCAGGGACCCAGGGCACCCACCTGATGATGGCCTCATCATCGATCTTCACGATGCAGTACGGATCACTGCTCCCCGTGCTAGAAGGACAAGGGACAGCTCTGTCAGTGCCACCAGCCACAGCCTGGCCACCACCCAACCTGCAGGAGTCTCATGGCCATGGGCGAGCAAAGCCTTCAGCCCTGACAGCCCCCACAGAACAGAGACCTTGCAGAGACAACGCCCTGAGGGAGCAGAGGCTGCCAAAGACTCCCACGGGGGATCTTGGCCACAGCTGCCAGCACAGGGTGACCCCAGCTTGGCTTCCAGACCGGGGACACCCCTCCCTGACCGTGTCCGGCCGCTGTGGCTGCCAGAAGTGGTTTTTCCTTTTCCACACAGGAAGGCAAGGAGCAAACAAACCCCACCCTTTCCCCGAAACAGCTCCAGGCACCTGCAGCCCAATTTCACACACTGGGGAGTGAGGCCACAGCAGCCTCCTCCAGCCCCACGGTGTCCCCAGACCCCCAGCACTCTCACGGGGATGGGGACAGCCCTAAGGACACCCCCAGGGATGCAGAGGGTGTGAAGGGCAGCCACCACCGTGCTTTGACCATGCTTCCTCCCTGGGGACAACCCGAGTCACCCTTGCCAAAAAATAATCATGGTTTTACAGCTTATTGCCCTGCTTCATCAGAAACAGGGTCAGGGGTGAGGACTCTGGCCAGGGACAGAGGAGCCAGGACCTGGGGGTGGCCAAGGTCATGGAAAGGTTGTGGCTGCCATCCCACTGGCATGGGGCAGCTTGGAGCATGGAGAACTCATAAACACCAACCCCAGTGGCACTGTCAGGCAGCCACGAGTGTCCTGGGGAAAGGGAGGGTGCACAGGTTGGGGGACCCCAGGCATTGAGTGATTCCCACATCCCAAATCCAGGGATGCTGAGAGGCAGCTGCTGGGGGGATTGAAAAGGTTTTGGGGACAACTGAAAGAATCTGGGGGAATCCAGATGGGTTTTGGAAGGACTAAAGGAGTTTGGAGGGACTGAAAGGGGTTTTGGGGGATTCAGAAGGAGTTGGAGGGGATTGAAAGGGTTTTGAGGGGGATTGAGAGGATTTTGGGGTGTTCAAAAGGAGTTGGAGGGGGCTGAAAGTGTTTTGGGGAATCAAAAGGGGTTGGAGGGGACTAAAATGGTTTTGAGGAGGATTGAAAAGGTACCTAGGGGGAATCAGAAGATGGTTTGGGGGAATCAAAAGGGGTTGGAGGGAACTGAAAGGGTCTTTAGGGGGATTGAAAGGGGTTTTGGGGGGGATTGAAAGGGGTTTGAAGGGTTCAAAAGAGGCTGGAGGGGACCGAAAGGGGTTTTGGGGAAATCAAAAGAGGTTGGGGGGATTGAAAGGGGTTTGGGGGGAATCAAAAGAGGTTGGAGGGGACTGAAAGGGGTTTGGGGGGATTCAAAAGAGATTGGAGGGGATTGAAAGGGGTTTTGGGGGATTCCAAAGAGGCTGGAGGGGACTGAAGGGGTTTTGGGGGATTCCAAAGAGGCTGGAGGGGACTGAAGGGGTTTTGGGGGATTCCAAAGAGGCTGGAGGGGACTGAAAGGGTTTTGGGGAAATCAGAAGAGGTTGGAGGGGACTGAAAGGGACTGAAGGGGTTTGGGGGGACTCCAAAGAGGCTGGAAGGGGCTGAAGGGGTTTTGGGGGATTCCAAAGAGGCTGGAAGGGATTGAAAGGGGTTTTGGGGGATTCCAAAGAGGCTGGAGGGGTCTGAAGGGGTTTTGGGTGATTCCAAAGAGGCTGGAGGGGTCTGAAGGGTTTGGGGGGCTCCCTGTCCCGCTAAGCACGGCAGCAGGGAATTCTCAGGCTGTGCATGCTGGGTGCCACAACAACATCCCTGCTCCCAGGCACTTCCATCCTCGGCCCCGGGTGCCGAGAGCCGCTCTCGGCCGCTGCCCCCGCTCCGTCCCGGCGCCGCGGGGAGGATTTTTAGGGAGAGCCGCGGGCGAAGCGGAGCGCATCGCTGACATTTCCTGCCTTGTGCAAACCATCGGGGACGCCGGGAGCGGGCAGGCGGAACGGGAACAGCTCCAGCTGCGCCCGGCAACGCGCGGCTGGCCGCGCTGGCAGCGCAACCCTTGTCCCCAGCGCGGGGACAGCAGCGCGGCCGCGGCTCCTGCGAGCCAGCCGGGCACGGCGTTCGCAGCGATTCAAACACTCCGCGGCAGAACCGCCCTCGGCGGCTGCGGGAGCTGCCCGAGCCGCCACGCGGATTTTGGGTGGCAAATCCCGGCTCAAAGGCGGGTGACACCGCAGCAGCATCCCTGCCCGTCCCGGGATGTCGCCGAGGGATTTGCGGCGCTGCTCGGGCACCCACGCTGGGGGCAGGGAAGGAGCTGGAAAGGGGAAGGGTTTTATAAAGAGGAAATGAGCCCAGGAGGGACTGGGGGAAGGGGGAAGGAACACACAGCCACCCCTCCGGCAGCAGAGCCGCGGAGGGATGGAATTAAAAATTAACTGGTGTTGTTCTGCCTTGGGAGGTGGTGAGAGGAAATGAATAAAAATTGAAGTAAAAAATGGAGCTAAAAAGGAAAGGGGGAAAAAAAATTAGAATGATAAAGGGAAGGAAGATAAAGAATAAAAGAAAAATAGAATTTAAAAATCAAAGAAAATTAAAGTAGAAATAAAAATAGAATTAAAAATGAGAAATTAAAGAAAAAATGAATAAAAATTTGAAGATCTAATTAAAAATAAAAGAAAAGGAAAAGAAAAGGAAAAGAAAAGGGTAAAATAAAAGGATAAAAGGATAAAATAAAGGGATAAAATAAAAGGAGGAATAATAAGTAAAGAAATGAAAAATAAATAAGTGGAGAAAAGGAAAAAGGGCAAAAATGAAAGAAAAAGTAATTTTAAAAATAAATAATGAAATAGAAAGTTAAAAAGTGAAAATATTGAAATAAAAATAGAATAGATTAGGATAAATTAAAGATTAAAAATTATTGGCATTATTTATTATCCTAACATGGAAATAAGCCAATAAAATAAATAAATAATAAAACATTAAATAAAATAAAATAAATTAAATGTCATATTAAAAAAATCAATACTAAATAAAGTCAATTTAAAAATTAAAAACCATTTAAAAAAATCAGATCCTTTCCCTGGCTTTCCTGGGATAAAGACGAGGGGAAGATTTGGCAGCCTCAGCTTGGGGGGGCTCCCGTAACTCCCTGAGCCAAATCCCGTGGGGTTCCCCGGGGGATTTGGGGGTGCTCCATCAGCCCTGGCTGTTGGCAGCGGGGACACCCGGCAGAGGGGATTCCCGGAGGAAAGCAGCGATCCCCAGAGCGGTGCCAGGGCAGGGAACCGGATCCCTGGGGCGCTGCGCGGCGGGGAAGGGGCCGGGCCCGGCCGGGGCCAAGGTCGCGCTCGGGTTTCCCTGCCCAGCCCAGCGGCACCGGCCCGGAGAGCTCCGCTCCAGGCGCTGTGGCTCTCCGGATCTCCCAAAACCCAGAGCCTGCCCCTGCTGGGTCAAGCTCCGCCGGGGAGCTGTGCCAAGGGATTTAAAAATCAGGCCCTGACACACGGGATTTAAACAAAAAAAAAAAAAAAAAAAAAGTCATGTTTCTTTCCTTGTTTATCCTCTTTTTCCATGACGGCTGCAGGGATTTTTGCTGGTTTGCCGGCTGCCGAGCGCTCCTCAGCAGCTTCCCGCTGCCTTGGTGGCGGCTGGGGCCACCCCGGCGCTGTCCCCACATCCCGCCCCAGAAGGATCGGAGCGGTGAGGAGAACACCGGGATTTTCCTGGGAGGGAAATCCCGAGCCAAGGGCTGCTCCCCGCACCTCAGCCAGGTGGGATGGAGCCGGGCATGGCAGCGGAGCGGGGACACAGCACTGGCACAGCCCCTGCTCCTTTGGGGACCAGTACCGGCTCCTGCTGCGCGTCCGGGGGTCCCGGCGAGGGTCCCGCTGTGCTGGGGACAGCCCTGCCCCGTGGCAGCACAGAGGGACCCCCCAAAGTGGGAGCGCTGCTTGGGGTACCCAAAACACTGCTGGGGGCATCCCACAGCAAGGGGGGAAACCTCAGCCCCATCCCGGGGGTGCCCCCAAATCACAGCACTGCTGAGGGAGCCCCCAAAGCGCTAAGAACACACAAAAATGTCCTAAAGGGGATCCCCAGGGCAAGGGGGGTCCCAAAACCGCACTGGGGGAACCCCCAAAGCAAGGGAACAGCAAAGCCATCCTGGAGGAAATCCCAAAGCAAGGGGGATTCCAAAGCCACCCTATGGGGAACCTCCAAAGTAGATGCACTGCTGGAGGGGTACCCCAAATCTACCCTGAAGGGAACCCCCAAAGTAAACACTCTGCTGGGGTGGGGGACCCTAAAGCCACCCTGGGGCGAATCCTCAGTGCAGGGCGACTCCAAAGCCATCCTGGAGGGAACACCCCAAGGGGTGACACCCCAAAAGGGGATCCTAAAGCCACCTGATCCTAAAGCCCTTACACCATGGCTGGGGGTCGCCCAAACCGTTCTGGGCAAGCCCCCAAAGCAGGGAGGAGGCTCTAAGGCCAGCCCGAGGGTGGTGTCCCCATCGGGGACCTGTTGGGGGGACACCCCGCAGCACCCCTGGGAAAGCGGCGAGTCCCTCGGGATGCCCCCGCCCCGAACGCGTCCCGGCCGCCGCGGGGGCACTCACATGTCCTTGGCGGGCAGGTTCCTGCCCTCCACGATGCGGATGGAGAGGGCGCTGCGCCGGGCCATGGCGGGCGGGCAGCGGAGCCGCGCGGAGCCAAAGGCGCCGAGCGCGGCCTCGAACCCGCGGCCCGAGCACAGCGCCCATGTGCGGGCCGGCGCCGGCGCCCGCCAATCAGCGCGCGGGGGCGGGGAAATGGGCGGGGCCTGGAGCGCATCCGCGGCGCCCATTGGCTGATCCCATCGGCTGTCTGCCAGGGGGTGTGGCCTGCGCGGGTGGGCGGGGCCGGGCTCCCCGCGCTGCCGGGGTCCCGCGGGTCCCCCCGCTGTGTCCCCTTTGTCCCCTCTCTGTCCCCTCTTTCCCCTCGGTCCCCTCTCTGTTCCCTCTGTCCCCTCAGTCCCCTTTCTGTTCCCTCTGTCCCCTGTCTGTCCCTTCGTTCCCCTTTCTCTCCCCTCTGTCCCCTCGGACCCCTCCATCCCCTCTTTCCCCTCGGTCCCCTCTGTCCCCTGTCTGACCCCTCGTTCCCCTTTCTGTCCCCTCGGACCCCTCGGTCCCCTCCATCCCCTCTCTATCCCCTCGTTCCCCTCTCTGTCCCCTCGGATCCCTCTGTCTCCTCTCTGTCCCTTCTGTCCCCTCTGTCCCCTCGTTCCCCTTTCTGTCCCCTCGGTCCCTCTCTGTCCCCTGTCTGTCCCTTGTCTGTCCCCTCGGTCCCCTCCATCCCCTCGTTCCCTTCTCTGTCCCCTCTTTCCCCTCGGTCCCCTTTCTGTCCCCTCGGTCCCCTCTGTCCCCTGTCTGTCCCCTCGTTCCCCTTTCTGTCCTCTCTGTCCCCTCGGTCCCTCCCTGTCCTCTCTGTCCCCTCTGTCCCCGGCCGCCCCGCGGCTCCAGCCCGGTTCGTGCCCATCCTGCCCAGCCCGGCGCCCCCTGGATCGGCCCAGTCCCACACGGGACCCTCCGAACCCCCGAACCTGGGGGCTGCAGCATCGGCCGCGCTGCTCTGCACCCCAACCTCCCCGTTTGATTGATTTTTAACCCATTTGTTTGTTTGTTTTAAAAGTACTGCACCGCCCAGGCGGCATTTGTGGGTGCTCGGTGCCCTAAATCCCAGCAGAGGCTCGGGGACCCCCCCATGGCGAGACCCACCCGGGCTCGGGGGCTCGGCCGCCACCCAAAGCTGTGCCGGCCAAGATGGTCCTTGGCATTTTCCCGGCGGGGACGCTCTGGGGACACGGCAGGGCCACGCTGGGAACACGCTGGGAAGAACACACTGTCTGTTCCTCCAGCGCTGCCCCTCTGCCTCCCCCGCGCAGGGGACAGCAAGGGGACAAACGCAGTCCCCGCCGCCTCCCACGAGCCTCTCCGTGTGCCAGCCCCAGCCCCACGGGCGGTCGGGGCCACACGGCCGGCAAGGCACGCGTGGGAGGCGACAGCGCCCTTTGCAGAGCCCCTTGCAGGCGAAGCGGGAGTTTTATTTGGGGGCGCGGGGTGTAGGGCGGAGAGGAGCCGCGTTTGCCGGACGGACCCATCCCTCCTGTGCTGCCACGCGGATCCCGGCAGGAGTTAATCGCTGGATTTGCTTCATTTCCCTTGGCCGGGCTCCACGGAGGCGGCTCCGGCAGTGGGGGGGCAGGTTGCTGACACCCCGTAAGGGCGCTGTGACCGGGCTGCGGTGGCACCGCGATGCTGCCCTTGGCGTGGCGCCTGCGGGGAGAAACGCGGCTGTTAATGTTTGTGTACGATGTCTATAGGTACACACACACCTGCCCCGGCTCCACCCGCTGCGGGATCGTCTCCAGCACCAGCGGGGTCTCATCCTGCCCGGGCTGCGGGATCAGGGCACCCGCAGCCCCGAGATCAGCATCAGAGACCCACGCCCCGCTGTGGGATCAGCAATGATGGATCCAGTCCCTTCCAGTCCCCTCCCCGCCACAGCCCGCTCCTCACCAGGGCAGGATCAGCCCCCACATCCCCCAGATCGGGATAAGGGACACCCCCCAGTGCAGGATCAGCCCCCACATCCCCCAGATCGGGATAAGGGACACCCCCCAGTGCAGGATCAGACACCCCGGGGTCCCCTCTTGAGGTCTCATAGCTCTCAGAGGAACCCGAGCTGTACCCGGGATGGATTGGGTCATTTCGGGGTGTGGGAGCCCCTCCTCTGGGCTTGGGCAGGAAGAGATCATTGTAGGATAAAAGGTGTTGGAGAAACACCCCCCACACCCCCACACCCCCCATCCCCAGCTCCCGGGCATTTCAGTGCATCAGAGCTGGGGGGGCCAGGCTCCCCCCGCTGCCCTGCACCCAGGGGACTTCTCCCCATCCGAAGTGGGCACAGGTGGCATCGATGCCCAGCTGGGTGTGGCGAGGTCTCCCGCAGCAGAGCATCCCCGGCCGCAGCTCTCTCCCAGCCAGCGCTGGGGCTCGGGGGGACAGGGGACCTTGGGGCTTTCCAGGGGGCTGCGGGGGGCAGCGAGGGGTCACAAGCAGGCGGGGCACAAAGCGTGCGGAAAAGCTTTAATGTCCCGCTCCACCGCCCCCGGGCCGGGGGGCGGCTCCGGCCGTGTCCCCGCGGCGGGCTGGTGGCACCGCAGGGACGGAGCGGCGCGGGGCTGGTGGCACCGCAGGGACGGAGCGGTGCGGGGCTGGTGGCACCGCAGGGACGGAGCGGTGCGGGCGCATTTACCCCGCGCGGGGCGCTCAGAGCCGGGCGCTCGGCTGGTCATAGACGTGGTGGGTGTTGTACCGCCGCACCGTCACCGACTCCGGCTTGCTGAAGGTGCTGCTGCCGCAGGAGTCCGAGCTGGGGAGGGAAGGCGGGCCGAGGGATGAGGGTGGGGACCAGGGGGTGACGTTGTCACCCTCCGCCGCCGGTCCCGGGTGCCCCGCACGCCCAGCTGGCGGCACTCACCCGCAGAAGACGAGCATGGCCACCAGTCCGGCCAGGAGGATGGCGAAGAGGATGGAGAGGATGGTGGTGATGGCGATCATGCCGGCGCTCTGCCCGCTGCCCGTGGAGAGGCTGCTGGCTGGCTTGGCTGGGGAGAGAGCAGGAGGAGAGGGAGCAGGATGCAGGGATCACACCCCGGCGTGGCTCAGGGGTCTGGATGGTGACGGTGTGTTCGTGTGTGCCATCCCAATGTGCCATCACACGGTGCAACCGTACACGAGTGAGACCCGCGGCAGAGCCCTACCTCAGTTTCCCCAGCTGCTCACAGGACCCCTCACCCCAAATCACTGTTGCTCAGCATTCAGCCCCCAGGGACCACCCCACACACCCAAGGCCACCCCACATTGCCCTGGACGGCTCTGGGCTGGGTGTGGGGGCAGGACGAGCACCGGTACCTGTCCTCAGCACGATTGGCATTGACCAGTTTGTCTCAGCCACGGGCTTAGAGTCCTCCAGGGCGAGGAACTTCACCCTAAGATGGGAAGGGAGGTTGGCCACAGCCCTGTGAGCCGGGGGGCTGCTGGCGGCCCTTGAGGGGGGCCGGTCCCAGAGCAGGCTCACCAGTACGGCCCGGGGCCGGGCAGGGGGCCATTGCACGTGGGTCTCGTCTCATCCATTGCACAGCTGGTCTCGCTGCCCACGCGCAGCACCGTGATGTCCCCAGGGGCTTTGGGGCAGGGGTAGCTGTCCAGGGTGACATTGAGGGTCATGTAGGCAGAGGCCTTGTCAGGGAACTTCTGGAATGCGATCTCGGGAGTCCCCGGTATCAAGCTGTTGTTGAAGGCATCTGCAGGGATGGGGATGGGGGTGAGGAGGGACTTGGTGGGGGATACAGGGACCCCTGCACACCCCCTGCCCTGGGCTGCTCCCACCTACCCTTGTCCATGGACACCACCAGCCAGACGACGGCGTTGCTGTAGTTTTCGAAGACGCAGCGGGGCTGGTCCAGCACGAAGGTGGAGGTGGTCGTCACCCCCTCCAGCGGGGGATCCTTGGCCAGGGTTGGCTCGGGCCCCACCACATCTGCGGTGAGAAGCCAAGGGGGTGCGGTGGAGGGTGTGGATCCCGCGCTGCAGCCCCGGAACGGAGGCTCCGAGCGGCGGCCGCAGTGCCGGGGATCGGAGCGGGGACAGGGGCAGGAGGCAGCTGAACCCTGGCATCCCGGCAGTGCGGCCTCTGCTCCCCTGCCACCCCCAGCCTGGGCTCAGACACGTATTTCGTTAAAAGAGGAAGCAAAGACACTCCATGTTCCCTTTGGCGGGGGGAACACCCGTGCGGGACTCCCTCACCAGAGGACTAGGGTGGGTGACACCAGGGACACTTGGGGTGGCACCAAGAATGGGGGGGCATCAGCTGCCCTACACCTCCAGGCTCAGGGGAGTCCTGGTGGACTCCAGTGGGGACCCCACACTGTGCCAGTCAGCCAATATCAGTGACAGCAGAGACTGGAGGTGACACCCAAACGCGACCCAGAATTGGGGGGCATCAGCTGCCCTACACCTCCAGGCTCAGCGGGGTCCTGGTGCCTGTGCACGGGGGGACCCCGCAGTGCCGAGGGGAGCCCCGAGCCCATCCCGGTGCCGTCCCGGACTCACCTGTGCCGCGGGCCGCGGGCAGGAGCAGGAGCAGCAGCGGGAGCATGGTGCGGGCGCCTTGGTGCCGAGGGCGGGAGTGCGGCTGCTGGAGCTCCGCGTCCCCTGGGACCCGCCTGTGGTCACCATCCGCCCACATTCCTGCAGCGGCCGCAGCCCCGTGGCAAACAGGTTGGGCTCGTTTCCCCGGGAGCTTTTGTTATTTTTGAGCGCCCGCCGGCGAGGCGTGCTGAGTGAGAACCGCTGAGTTTGTGGCATGGCTGGGTGACAGCTTCACCCGTGGTGATGCGCCCCACAGACCCCACCAGCGCTACCAAGTGCCCCCCACACCGACACCGAGTGCCATCAAAACCAGGGCCCACGTGGGTCTTGAGGTCGCCCACCTTCCCAGTCCCGCCCTGCATGGCCAAAGACCAGGAGGAGACAGCTGCAGTTGGAAAATCAGATTTTAATTGACAGGACAGTTCATGTCTATTGGAAGGTGGCCCTGCCTGTGACAGGGGTGTTGAAACGAGGTGGTCCCTTTATGGTCCCGTCCAACCCAAACTGTTCCATGATTCTCTGACACGGAGCAGGGGGTTGGGGGGCAGAGCAGCACAGCCCTGGGGGGCTACACCCGCCGCCGGGGGGCAGGGGCAGGGGCAGGCCCGGGGGGATGTGGTGGGTCCGGTAGGATCTGCGGATGAAGGAGTCGGTCCCCAAGCCCTGGTGGCACAGGGAGCTCCACACCTTGGCACTGCAGGGAGACGGAAGCAGAGGCATCAAGTGGGGTCTGTGGGGCTCTGCACCAGCCACCCCCAAGGAGCCCTTTCTCTTGCAAACTATGGCAACCCCCCAATTTAGGAATAAAAATACTTTTTCATTGTTAAAAAGATTTCTTTGCTGACGGGGTTGCCACGTTGGGGTGTTCTCCTGAGGCCCTGTAGACACTGCCCCCCCATAGCCCCCCGTACCCCAGGGCTCCGAGCACGGCGGTGGCCAGCACGGCCCCCAGGCTGGCCAGGATGGAGGCGATGACCACCACGGCACTGCCACGGCGAGCGGGCACAGGCTCGATGGTGCTCGGGCTGACGGCTGGAAGGAGGCGGGATGGGGGATATGGGGTGGATGTGGGATCGGGGATCACTTCATCCCGCAGGTTTTGGGGTGATGGCACGGGGCTGATGCTGTGCCACGTGCCAGCACCCCAACCAGGCGGGTGCAGGGGACCCGCGGGGGGGGTGGCAGTGCCACAGGTACCTGTGCGCAGGAGGATGGGCTCGGACCACCGCGTCTCCGCTTTGGGGCCGCGGCAGCCCATCAGCAGGAACTTCACCCTGCCACGGGCACGGGGGTGGTACCGCGGGACGAGCGAGTCACCCCAGCCGGGATTTGGAGCTTCTGGCCTTACCTGTAGGGTCCCGGGGAGGGCAGGGGCCCATTGCAGGGGTCCTCCCTGCCCTGCTCCCCGCACGCCGTGTCGCTCCCGACCCGCAGCACGGGCGCGCTCGCTGCCCGGCAGGAATACGCGGCCGCCGCCGTCTCCAGCGTCATGTAGGAGCGGGCAGTGGGCAGCTGCTTGTACGGGGGCACGTCAGCCCGGGACGGGGGGTTTCGGAAGGTGCCTGATGCTGCACGGCACAGATGGAGGGTGAGCGACTGCCGTGGGGTCCCCCATGCCCCCTGCCACAGGGGGACGTGCGGGACCGGCGGGCGCTCACCGTTGGCAAAGGCCACCGCCAGCCAAACGGTGTCGGAGGCTTCGGCGTGGCCGTCAAAGACGCAGCAGGGCCTCGCCAGCGCGAAGGTGGTGGCAGTGACCTTGCCCAGCAGTGCCATGGGGGGCACGTGGGGCACGTAGGGCAGCCGGGCTGGGGGAGCGGGCAGTGAGCGAGGGACCCCCCGTTCCACACGCTCAGCAAGCGCCCGACCCCGCACCCACACCAGTGCTGGCACACGGGACTGTCACAAGGAGCCAGCACGAGGGGGACAGCACCCCCCAGCCATGCCCAGCCCCATAAACCCCTCCCTGGCACAAACGCCTCGCAGCCCCTCCAGGCCCCTGTCCCCCCTGCCCTGTCCCCCAGGGAGTCACCCAAATCCGCGGCCGCGCCCATCCCAGCCAGAGCCAGCAGCACCCACGGCAGCTCCATGGCGTCGTCCTGCTGGTGCTGGATGTGATGTCCTGCTCTGCTCACCCCGTCCCGCTGCCGAGGGGACGAACTGCCCCCAGTGCCCCCGCAGCAGGGACCGCCTGTCCTGGAGCTGGGCCCTCCCAGCCCCGCATTCCTGCACCGGCTCTGCCGGCCCGGCCGGGCCCCGCGGGCAGAGGGGACAGCTGAGCATCCCGGGCCACCCGCTGGTCCCCAATCCGCTGGGAACCGTCCTACAGGACCCCCGAGGCACCTGCGAGGAATCAAGGCACAGGACAGTCATGTGAAAGGGGAAACTGAGGCACAGGAGGCACTGGGGCAATGTTCCAGGATGGGTTGGCAGGGTTCGGCCTTTGCTGCCGCTACGGGGGCAGCCGGGCAAATCGTCCTGGAACCCCACTCGCCCCACCAAGACCCAACTCCTTGTGGATGCCGTGTGCCCACCAGTCCCCCGGAGCCAGGGGTGAGCCCGTGCCCGACTGGTTCGGGTGCAGCCAGCCCTGCCCCGCGGGCAGGGAAGCGCTGCGGAACATCACACCCAAACGAACCCAAATCCCAGCGTTCAGGTGAATGGTCCCACCCAACACCAGAGCCACGGAAGCCTTTTCAGCTCAGGGGCCACCCCACACGCTGACGTTTCCCCATCTCTCGTAGCCCTTCCAAGCCCTTGGGATGGGGGCAGGACACGGCCCTGGAGCGGGAGCGCCCCGCGGCCGGGAGCCCCGAGCGCCGCTCCCCCCGCAGAGGGCTCGGAGCGCTCCTTCTGCCGTGTTTGCCAAGGGGAGCGGCTGCCCACTCCTGCGTGGGAGGAGATTTCCCCCCCTTCCCAAGGAGCCGGGACCGCGCCTTCAGATTAAGTGGAAATGGGGCATTCAAAGATTACACGGTCCAGCTGCAGAGGGGAAAACCAGGCGCAGCTGCAGCCTCCCTCCCTCCCCCCTTATCCCGGCCTTATCCCCCACACCTGCCCAGCAACACTCGCCCCGGGGACCCCCCCAGGTCCCCCCGGCTCTCCCCTGGTGCTGCCCGGCCGGCAAGGTGCCAGCAGCAAGGTGAGGGGCAGGGGGTGACGCAGGGGGGTGACGCAGGGGACACTGAGTCACAGTTTCAGCTGCCGGTACCCAGCATAGCTGCGGGGTCAAGGCTGGGCTAATAATAACCACCCTGTGGCAGATGAGCCACCACCGCAGGGGCTGGGAGACACCCCCCTCTCCTCTCCCTGGGGCTCCAGCTGGGGAGAGGGGACACAAGGATTTTGGTTAAATGTGCCTGGGGGCAGCAGAAGCTTTTATCTGGGACTCTGTCCCCTCCTGGCTCCGAGAGGTTATACTTTTACGGTTATGCTTTCACCCCACCTTTCAAAGCATTTCCCTACAGCACCGTGCCTGAGCTCCTGGCTCTGCTCCCTTCCACCCCTTGGATCCCCCTGCCACAGGGGCTAGGCCACCTTGGGCCCAGCACAGAGAGGAGAAGGATTTTAGGAGATGCCTCGTGTCCAAAACCAGTCAGGGATGAGCTGCTGAGCTTGGCTGGCTCACCCAGCCCCGTGCCCCTGCCCTGGACCAGCCCAGATGCAGGGAGGCTCCAGCTGATTCACACCCAGCAGCAGCTGCTGGAGATGTCTCAAGCCAGGCTCAGCAGGAAATTCTTGCTTTGTACAGGGTTGAGTGAACCCTGCTTCAATCTTTGCTTCAATTCACTGCTTTGGTTGCAGGGACAGCATAATCCAGGGATACAAAGCTTAGGTTTGAACTCAAGACCTCTCCCTTTTGCAACCAGGGTGGGAGAAGAGCAGACAGAGCCCATTTGTGTAGAGCTTAGCAACACAGACACGTCACTGCAGCTCCCATGGAGCTGCCATTCCTGCAGCATGCCCAAATTCCACTGGATATTTGAGGGATTTTCTTAGAGCTTGCAGGCACAAGATGGACACTGGGGAAAGCTCCACCACTCAATAGCCCAGAAAAACCGTTTATCTTCATATTGGCATGACAGGAAGCAAAGTGCCCCTTATCTGGTCCAGGATGTGCTGGTCCCAGGTAGTGCTGCCACAAAGCCCAGCCCCATCCCAGATTTCCCAGGAAGGAGGTGAAATGGCAGATGGCACCAGTGCCAAAGGGATGGATTGGATGGATTTAATGTGCAGCTGGGTCTAGTGGCTACAGGGAGAGGAAGAGCCAGAAACAACTATTCAAAATATATCACTCCCCAGGTGACAAGAAACAGCTCTTCAGCTCCCATCTGACAAGGAGCCTGGGGACAATGTACAGCAATGTACAGGGACAATATCCCACTTCCAAGGTGCCAGCAGCCAGAGCAGGAACAGGCTCCCAGCCAGAGCATCGCTGCTGGCACCTGGGCTGCCCACCAGTGCTGCTGGGAGGAAGGTGACTGTCACCAGCTGGTGGCACCAGCATCCCTGCAGCAGCAGCACAGAGCACAGCAGCTCCTCCCTGCACAGGCTTCACTGAATTGCTGCCATTTCACCTGAGAGGAGAGGCACAGGTTCTGCCTCTCGTCCTTGGGATGAGAGAAGTGGGGCTGCAACTTCGCACATGGTGGACACTGCTAAGTCACCTCTGCTGGCACCATGGCCACAGACACCAAACTCCAGTGGCCAAGCACTGACAGGCAGGAGCCACAACCCCTAGGAGCAGTGTCCTGCCTCCACTGAGATGTGTGTCCCTCCAGCAGAGCTCAGCTTTCCCTCCTGGCTGGATTAATTGTCTGTGGCTCCATGGAGGAGGCTGGTTCCCCAAAGAGACCCACCCCAAGCCCTGAACAGCAGGAAAGCAGAGCAGGGTCTTGCTGTGAGAATGAAGAGTTTATTGGGACCCAGTAGAGATACACAGCAGGAGGGAGGCAAGAGGTGCCTCAGACAGGGAGATGATGTGTCCCAAAAGGAGGACCTTGTTTGACTTCCAGGTGGTCTACTGGAAGCAAGGCACTCTCCTCTCCCACCCTGTCCCCAGGCATAACCAAAGGAAGGGCCTGCCTTCCCCAGGGGATCTGTCACCTCAGTCCCATCCCTGCTGCTCCTGGCTGCAGCCATCAATCCCACCCAGAGACACAAGCACAGCTTCTACAAAAATATCCTTCCCTCCCCCACACCCCCCCACCAAAAAACTGTGAAGAGCGGGCAGGGCTCCCACGGAACTGTTATTGCTCAGTGTGACGGGCGCTCGGACACGGGAACTTAAGGCATCAGGAATAAGTGCACTAGGTGGCCCCTGAGGCTCACTGGCCCAGGCAGTCCTCGGTGACACCCTGGGCAGCCAGCTCTGCCAGCACATTGTCCAGGTAGTTGGGGTCAGGGTAGCCATGGCCACTGAGGTTTGAGTCCATCTCAGTCTTGTGGTGGATCTCGTTCCACACCACCGTGTTGCTCTCGCCCGTGGTGTTGGAGGTGCCCACTGTGAAAATCAGGCGTCTCTTCCAGGCCACCTTCAGGAGCTCCAGGACCTAGAGGGGCAAAAGAAAAACAAAGCTAGGAGCAGCAGCTAGGAGATTTGTGCCATGAATGCAGCTTGTCAGGAGCTTGACAGCTTAAGGGTGGTGTTATCAGGGTGTGATACCTCACCTTCCTGCCCTTCTCGTTGTCTGGTAGGTAGCAATAGCGAGGAAAGCCTCTGGCTGTGTATGGCATGCCAGGGTTGGGGTGCTCCGGGCCCTGCAAGAGATGAGACAGATTTGTCATGGACATATCCATCTTCCTGTGAATTGGACATCAGCAGCAAGATCTGACACAGGCCCATCCCAAACCAGCTCTTCCACGTAGAGGCAGCAAGGCATTGCTGGTGAGTACGTGTCTGTTGTTCTCAAGGACACATGACTATTACAGATCCTCCAAAAGCAGCTGGGATACAAAGCCAGATGTAAAATCTACCTAAATTCTGGTGAGAGACAGCCCCAAAACACTGCTTTTCCCATGTGCTCTGGTAACACCTTAAAAAGGCCACACAGCTCAAACCTTTGAAAGTTCACTCCCACCACTGAAACCAACATGAGCTGTGAAACCAGACCATGGGATGCTTCCCACCTTGTGATCATGGGCATCTCCTCCCTGCTTCAGGCAAACACCAGACTTTACTGCAGGTGAACAGCTGGGGCTGCTCAGGGAAAGATCTCTGATGGAGGAGGCCCTCACATGTTGAAGAGCAGCCAGAGCAGCTGCTGGCTCCAGGAACCACAGGCTACTCAGCAAAGGGCTGCCAGCAGGTGCTGCACTGGCTCCCAGGACTTCTCTGGGAGGCTCTCCCAGCTTGTGCTGTCTGCCAGCATGCTGGGCACTCACCTGGATGCCCCTGCTGATGTGATACACAATCCGGATTGTCCCACAGTCCTTGTGTCCTGGGAGGGACTGGGGGAAAGTGGAGACCTCCATCTTCCCTTTGGGCTGGGTACCAGTTTTCTCTCCATAGATGGTTTTACAGGAGGGGCACTGCAAACTGCCATCCTGCCAGGGGAGAGAAGCCACATCAGAGCTCCCCAGCACAGCCACCTGCAGGCAGGGCTGCTGAGATGGGCCAGCTCAGTACCTTGTTCCCGTTGGAGTACATGGCCAGCATGCAGAGCATGTGGAAGGAGTGCTGGCAGTTCCTCAGGCGGCCGACTGCCTCCGGCCTGATGGTGCTGGACTGGCAGGAGTCACTGTAGCCCGAGGGGGAGGACAGCTTCTCCATGCAGATCATGCAGTCCTGCAGGAGAAAACACCACATGTGTGAGCACAGGCTGGTCCTGAGGACTGGCACACCAAGGAAGCCATCAAGGAGATGCTTCAGGAAGATTTGCCTTCAGCCCTTCAGCTTTAATTGAGATTTAAGGACACAGAGACAGGTTTCCTTATATGGCTGGTATTGCTCCACTCCACTTCCTGCATTGTCCAGGAGGTGGAGAGCTGGCATCAGTCAAAGAGAACAGTATGGCTACATCCTGCTTCTCTGCAAAGGAGCTCCAATGCAGGGATTGATCTCTAGTTTTGACCTCTCAGCGCTGAGACCAAAACAAAACTCCATCCTCCAAAGGAAATGGGGGCACTGTCAGGATGAGCTATTCCACCCACACTGAGCCTTCCTCACAGTCCTCTGATGAGGACAAGTCACCTGCTGTCACATGTGAACTTCAGGCAGTGCTGAGGACTCTCCACCTCACATCAACAGTGCCACTGCAAGCAGCACCATGCACCACACCAGACACCCATGGAGGCATGGCCCTTGGGCACTGCTGTGGCTTCCTTGGCACCCCAGTGAACTGGGCAAGCTGCAGTTGCTTCACTGTCCTCTTACCTCATCAGCAGGAGCACCCTTCAGCTCTTCCAGGTATTTCTTCACCACAGATTCTGGCTCTGTTGGAGTGGCTGCACAAGGAGAGATGAGACAGACAAGTCAGAGACTGCATGGTACGATGGCCCATGTGGGGTGAGCTAGAGAGAAGGCAGACAAGCAGGTCACTGGCCAGGATGCCAAGGAGAAAGGTCAGGGTTAGAAGGGGAGAACAGAACACTCCAACAGATCCCTACAAGCCCAGCAAAGGCTTTGCTTTGAGCCATGGCTCCCACCAGGGCTGTGAGTGTAGCTGGTGTGCTCCTGTTCTTGTCACACACCCCAAGTGACACCAGGCACATCCCAGATGGACTTTCTGTGCACAGCAGAAGACAGCTGGGATCAAACCCAGCAGCCTTGATGGGACAGAGGATCACACAGTCTGTGTTGTCAAAAGAGGAAAAAAGGCATTCCCACACCACCCCAGCTGGTGCCCAGCAAGGAAACCCAGCAACACTCTGAGCTTCAGGCCCAGTTTTGAACACAGCACAATGAGCTCCACATCCTTAACATGAAACAGTGGCCTTGGTCCTGAGCTTCCACACCCTCACACCTGGCAAGACACAGCACAAGTTACCAGGTGTATAAAATAAACCAGCTTTCAACATGAACCCTATCTGCAGCATGAGACAGTATCTTTGCATCTTCCCAAATATAATCCCTGGTCACATCCACCCAGGCACAGAGACCTGAGCAGCCCACCAGCCTGGTCCCTGGAGGCATTATGGGATGAAGCAACAAACATCACACAACACCAAGAGCAAATTACCACTGAGTGCATCCACTGTCACCTCAACTTCCAACCCGTCCTCCTGGAGCTGCCTAGCAAGGCTTGGCTTAAGCCAGGAGCACCCCATGCCTCTGCAAGGCACCTGGTCCTTACCAGGCATCAGGCCTGCCACAGGAGCTGCCAGGCTTTTCCACCAGCCTGGGAAAAGAAACATTTGCACAAGTGATGTTACAACTCCACCTGGCAGGAGGCAAAGAGAGATCAGACACTTTGCTTGGGGGAATCTCATCCTTCCTTCTTGAATCCACTTCTGGGGGACACTAGGAGAAAGCAATGCTGTGACAAACAGGCTGGCCAAGGCATAGCTCTCCCTTCTCCAACTCCATCCTGTCCAGGAGGATGCTTTAGCATGGAGAGCACTGCTGCTCCCAACTCCATGCTCCCAGGAGGACACACATGGACCAGCCAGGGATCAGAGCTACAGCTGAACCTGCATGACCCATCTTCAGCTCTCCCCATCCATTCTGGGGCCTTGAGGGAAGACAGAGGGTTCACAAGCACTGGCTCTGTGGTTCAAGAAGTTGCACACCAAGAGACAGCCACTGGAGCTGTTATTCCAATCCAAAAATCCACGTCTGTCACGAGCAGGAAGGAGGGGGTGCTATTTTCTGGATAACCACTTTTCATGGAGAGACAAACATGAAACAGAAGGGAAGGACTGCTCATGTGCCACAAATGGTGTTGAACCTCTGCCTGGATGGCACAGATCCTCTACCAGGTAGAAGTCCCTCATTCCCTAGAACAGCATGGAAGAGAGGAAGGCAGAGCATCAACATCCTTTAGCTAAGAAGGCTGAGGAACTGTGGGCTGGACTCTCCTAAGTGAAAACACAGTCATTAAGATGAGTTATTTTCAGAAGGGGATTCCTGGCCAACCTGAAACCCGTGATTTCTGCCAGCAGCAGCAGGAGGAAAGGATGGCTGAGCACACAGAGCAAGAAGAGGAAGCCGGAGGTGAAGGATGTTCACTCCAAGTGCCAGTGCTGGCCAGGAGGGATGCCTGACATCTCAGCCAGAGCAGGGCTGTGAGGACCAATCTCTGGAGATCCCAAGTCAGATAGGCGACAACAGGATTAAGCATTAAGCCAAAGAACAACACAGAAGCAGATGTTTTCCTCTTCAGGGGCCAAAATCCCCTGAAAATGCATTTCCAAGAACTGTCCCAAGAGCAGGAAACAGGGAGGAGCCTGGGCAAGCCTCAGGCTTCCACCTTTGAGGCCAAGGGCTCAGCAGTGCCAGGAGCTGCTTCAAGGCCTCATCACCAGATCTCACAGGGGACCTGGCTCCTTGTCTTGTCTTTTCCAAAAGAAATTCCAGGAATTCTCTGCTGGGACCTTGCTTGCATGCAGAGGATCAAGAGGTAGGAATGAGTCTGAAGGGGATGTGATCAGTCTGAGCTGTCCCAGCTCACTGTGCCTGAAACTCCCCAGCTGAGTGTTCTGTCACATCCAGCTGGCAAAGACAGGGTGGCACTTCCCACGTGTGGCACTTGGAATCAGTCCCTGGAGACCTTCATGGCCCTAGAGGAGATGGAGGTTTCAGCTTCTCCTGCTTCACAGGTTTCAGAAAGAGTGCTGTGGGCAGGACTAGCTATTATCCCCCCTAAGGCCATCCGTTCCCACGATGATCACTGTGTTCTCATCCTTGTGGATCCTGTGCTGCCTGGCAGACAGACAGACAGACAGACAGACTGACCACCAAGTCCTTCTCCACCCAACCTGCATTTTCCAGGTGGCTCTTTCTGAAGTGACCTTCTTGTCTCCTCTGGCTTTGGGCTGGAGGAAGAAAAGCCAAAAAGATGCACAGCCAAGGTGAAGACAGCAAGGGAAGGGAGCAGGGACAAGTGTTACACCAGCAGCAACACCTGCCCAGCACTTGGCAGAAAGCCCCAGCTCACCTGCTCCCACCTGCACAGCAGATCCGAGCAGCTTTAGAGCAAGCAGTTCAGCTTGTTCAGGGTGGTGGGGGTTGCCCCTTCCACAGAATGCCTCGTGACTTTTCTTCTCTGGAGCAGCTCCAAGGAACAAAGAGATAACTGACTCAAGAACTGGCCAGGCTCATTCAAACGAAATCGATGAAAGGAGACAAAAATTCTGGTGCAGAGCTGGATGACAGTGAGACAGGAAAGGCCTTGGGATTTTGGGCATTACACCACTTCACCAGCTGGCATTAGGATGGAGCTGGGGGAACCAAACAGGCAGAAGGTGATGCAGCCCTCAGCTGCCCTGAGGAAACCCATGCCTGATGGATTTGCACTGTGGCATCTGCAATCTGTCCCTGTCTCTTTGCTGTGACGATGCTCTAATGCATTTAGAGCCACCAAAGCTGCCTGGAGAGAGAAAGGATTAGGCAGCCTGGTATTTTAGAAAAATCCCCCCCCAGCTGCAAGGATTTCAAAGTCCAGTCCCAAAGAAGGGACTTTTGATGCTGAGAGCTCTTTTTCAGGAAGGGTAGCAAAGTCCACATGGCTTTCCTTGGGCAGACCAGCTTGTCTGGCTGGCCATATCCCAGCAGCACAGGGGGAGCCAGGAGGCAGCTGGGACCATGGCACGAGCTACGTATGCTCCAACACATGAATCACTTCCTTACAGGGCTGTTTATTCCATAAAAGTGTTTGCCTCCAAATCTTTGTTCTGGCCATCCCCTGGGATCATCAAAGCTTGGTCAGTCCCCAGAGTCTTCTGGATTCAATAGTGGATTGAAAATGGACTGGAAGAATCGACCAGTGCCATTTATCACCAGCTGGCACAGAGCTGTGCTACATTTATCCAGGATGCCAAAAAATGTTTACCATTCTTTCTTTTACAAAGAGAGGAATATCAAATTGTTTTTAATGCTTCCCCTTCCTCCCTGTAGATAATTATCTGCTTGCTGCAGCAAGGGCTTTCCATGGGCAACATTTAACAGATGTGTTTTGAATCCTTGCACAGCAACCAAATACTTGCATCAGTAATATCTCCTTCTGTAGCCCAAAACAAGCCATATGGTTTCCAGCAGACTTTTTTTTATACCCTCTACAGGCCAGACACTGGTTGTTCCTAGTTATTGCCATGGACAGTCACACAGCTCCCATCACCTCTGCTCCATGGACTTGGAAAAGCTGCACCTACAGACTTCTCCATATTCAGCATTTCAGCAGGATAATCCAGTAACCAGGCTGCTCTGGTCAGAGCATCCCTGTTTCTGCAGCCTGTCTCCTTCAGCAGATGTTTCCCCATGGGAATAGCAAGATCTCCCAGCTCTGAGGGACTCCCCAGTCCCACAGGCACTGGCACAGTCTGTACATCCAGCTGCAGGTGGATGGCAAGGAAGGATGAGCATGCTCCTCTCCTTCCTCACTGCAGCACCTGCAGTGACTGCCCTTCCCAGAGAGGAGGATGTGCAGGGAAACCTCCTCACCAGGTAAAAGTGGCTAACAAGTGACACAGCAGACCCAGGCAGTCCCTGGAGGTCCTTGGAAAGGCTGGGGAGCCCTGTGGTGGCCTGCAGCATGCAGCTGCTCCAAGCAGCACTTGGAGAGAGCAGGACAAGCCACTTGTCTTCCTGCCTCCCAGCCAGCAGTCAGGTCCCAGCAGTGCTGGCACAGGGCAGCGAGTGGCTGCAGCATCCCAATCCATGGGGATGGCAGAGGCTGCCAGGCCCCGTGCCAGCATGGAGAGCACAGAACCTGCCCAGAAACTACGGCTTCCCCAAGCCCTGCAGCACCTGGCTGTGCCAGAGACATCCCTGCCAGAGCAGCAACAACGCTAACGAGTCCTGACTAATTAGCGCCTCTGTTTAACACACCCCAGCTATTGACAGAGCCAGCTGCAATTCCACCAGCCCTGCATCACCCCCTGTGGGACCAGGGCTGGCAGCAGCAGGAGGGAGGGAGAAGGGGCTCAGCAGGAGCACAGTGCACCCACCACCAGCTGGTTGTGGTCAGTGCAATGCTGGGGCTAGTCCTGGATGCAGAGCTCTTGCTTGAGCTCTCCATGATGCAAAATCCTAAAGGGAAGTGGCAAAGAACAGACCATGCAGAAATTCAGGGCATAAATGAGCCCATCTCTGTCTGTTGGCAGCATCAGGGTCTGTGAAGGGAAAGAACAGTCTGGCCAAAAGTCAGGCTCAGTACCTGCACTGCAGAATAATGTTCCTAAGCCCTGAGGGGTGTTGTACAAACACAGCTTGTTCCTAGAAGGGACTGAACACCATTATGCATCCCAGAAGTGAGGCACTCCACAGGGGCATCCCAGCACCCACTGACAGGAATCCTGCTTTTTAAAATAAGAGGGGGGATTTTAACACCCAAAACCACTGAAAGGCTCCTCTTCTCATGGGTCAGTGTAGGAGAGGGCTGATCTCAAGCCTCCTCTGCAGCACATCCTGGGCAGGATGAGGACAGCTGGGACAAATCCTGCCATGCTGGATGGGAGAAGGAGATGCTTGATGTCCCTTTCCCATTCCATCCCTCCTGTTGGTGCTGCCTCTCTGCTCCTCCGGAGGTGTCCCAGCCCCAGCAGGTGGCATTGCAGAGCTGGCAGGGAGGTGACAGCAGCCCTGGGGCTGAGCCAGCGCTGAGGAACTGAAGAAGTGATGCTGATGGGGTGCACAGATACAGCTGCGGGACACCCAATGCGGTGTGTGCTGCTCTCACCTCCCAGCCCATGTCCCACCTTCCCATGCCCTGCATTGCTGCTGTCCCACGATGCCAGGGAGGGTCAGATGCTGGGAGCAGACAGCACCTGGACCAACAAACAGCACAGAGGAAAAGGCAGCAGCCAGCCAGGCTGTGTCTGTGGCCACCCTGTGACCTAAATACAGCTGTTTCATGTCACTAAGCAACAGCAGGTGACCAGCATCAGTGCAGGCCTGGCCCTCGTTGGTCTGGGCTCCAGTGCCTCTTGGGAGGGTCTGGCCTCCCCACAGCTCCCTTTTGGCACTGTTTCCAGGGCATCCCCACCACCCAGCCCTCACTCCTGCCCTTGCATGCTGCCCATGCCAGGAGTGAAGCACCAGGAGCCACATAACCCCAGCACACTGCCAGCTGGCTCCATGGAGCAGGATCCTCATCCAGCCCCTCTGCCACCCACCTCTGCTCAGCTCTTCTCCTTCACCTCCCATTTTCCTTTGCTCCTCCTGTTCTTTGCTGATTCTCCTGCTGCCCCTGCTTTCTCCTCCCCCTCGATCACACATCCTACTCCACATTTGCTTTCTCACTCCTTCTCACAGCTCTCTCCATAATGCATTTCCATAAAATACCTCCCTCCTCATTTCATTTCTATTTTCCTTCCTGCCTCCTTCAGACAGCTTTGGAGCTCACATACTCCAAAGAGAGATAAAGGTACGACAAATCTCTCTAGACAGGCACATGCCTCTTCCTCTCCAGGTCTGGGCTCTTTCCTTTCTTAAATGTAGAGATCTGTGTTGAACATCTCCAGTCCCCACCTGGCTCATCCAGAGCGGGGCATGCTGCAGGTTAGGTGGTGGTTGACACCCCTGTGCCAAGGCTGGCAAACAACCTCTACAGCTACACCAGGCTGGATTCACACCTACCCCTGCAGAGTCCCAGGCACACGGATGGGATCCAGGCTCTCAGCTGGGAGCCACAGGCTCTGTGCAGGTGAGGAGTGCCAGAGATATGAAGAGGAGAAATGAAAGCCCTGCCCTGGAGAAGACTCCACTCAGCAAGTGAGCTGAAGGAATCCATCCCTTCCTGCCAGTGCACATCCACCTGAGAATGCTCCACTTCACTCCCTTCCACCCCAGACCGAGGTGGAAAGAACAAATCCTCTGCAATTTGACCTCAAAAGGCCTGCACAACTCAGGGGTCTGCTTGTCTGGGAGGTCCTTGTCATCCCATGACTCAATCATGACAAGCATGGCTCACTAGCAAATCTTCTCTGCGGAGAACATATGGATTTGATGTTCTTCTTAATGGTTCCTCAGCTCTCAGACTCGTTCCACCGAGAATTCAGAAGGTCCTGGTATGTGAACACTCCCCATGTGGGTGTAGCAGGATCACAGGGGAGGCTGGAGTCTGACATGCAGAGCACAGATCTGTTCCAGCTTTCATTTTGTGTGGAAACAAGCTGACCACACCTTCTTTACCATGTTATTTTAGAGCCTGTCAGAGATGCTGCAGTTCAAGGGAGATGTGTCCTGCTTCTCCCCTCGCTGGGATGAACATCATCAGTCAAACCAGAAGAGCCACGAGGGTTGGGGGGGAGAGACAAGAGGAAAAGAGGGATGCAGAGAGATAAAGAAAAGGAGATGGAAGCAAATATCAGAGTTTGAGCAGGAACTACCTTTCTTGGACACTTTCCTCCCCTCCTTAACTGAGCTGTGTTTTTTAGTGGCCTTATGGGTGCTGGCAGCTTGCGGCACACGGGTGAGGTACACGGGCAGTCCGGCGGCTGACATCAGAATAGCTGTCATGCCTACAGTGGGTACGAGGTCAACATGCAGGAAGGAAACAATGGGGAAACACATTCATTAAAAAAAAAAAAAAACCTTTAACCTTTCAAAGAAAATCAAAATAAAGTAAAATAAAATAAAACCCAAGCCCTTAGTTCTGAGGGCGTAAAACATCTGAGAGGTAACAGGGTTGGAGTCAGCACAAGGAGAGGATCTGGAGGTTTTCAGAGGGAGGAGCCCAGGCAGTGAATTAAGGGGGGGAAATGTGGGCACATGTCTTGTCTGTGACCCTTTGTGCTGGTGTGTAAAGAGGACCTTCCTCTCTGGGCTTCAGGGCTCCTCAGGCACCGAGCCTGCTGTGGTGCCAAGTTCTCCTGCTGACCAGAGCCCTGGAAGCAGCCCTGAAGGATGAAGGGCATCACCTGTAACCCCTAAAGGTCCTGCTCAGCTGCTCCCCACTAAAGCCACACATTTCAACAGTGTCACACTGAACTAATCCCCCTTCAAACACCAGGGCAGAGCTGCCCCACACAGCCCCCAAAACCTCTCCTCCCTGCACTCTTGTTTTCCCTCGCTCCCAGCAGCAATGCAATCCTCATCCTCCCCCATCCCAGCCAGCTGTATCCATGGGATGCAGTTTGATAAAACTAATGAATCATTAAAAAGGACAGCTATTCCCTGAAGGTAAAATTGGCACACAGAAAGCTACAGGACTGATCACGCTGATCTGAGATGATGTTTGCCTATGAAATCCAGGCTGGTTACAAATCATTACATTTCCAAGGTACCATACTGCTCTCACACATCCAATAGAATACCCGATTTTGGTTTCCCAAGAGCAACTTCCCACCTGCAACCAGCACCAGAAACAAGAAAAAAAGCTTATAGTTTCAAACCAACAGCAGAAAACCTAAAAGCTAGCATTTCCCCAGAAATCCCCTCTGAGGGCAGACACACAAACCACATCCTAATGCTACAGACATTCCTGCTCAGTAATGCATGGCCAAAGATGAGATTTCCAAGCATTTTATTTTTGCAAGCCTCTATTCAGTCATATGGAGAAAGGAAGATTCTAGAGCACATTTGTTCAGGACAAAAATGAGGCACCGTGCCCACACATGACTGAAAAATCAAGTTATGATGGGAAGCATCAGCTTTGTGTGCAAGTGGTAAGACTATTTTCTGCCTCAAATATGCAACCAGTCAAGAACGTGTGTCCTGTGACTGCAAATCCCCTGTGCAAAGTCTGTGTCAGTGCTTCACAAGCAGAATTACTCCTACACTGTGCTGACCACAATTTGAACCTCCTTTTCCTAAGGTCTGAGCACAAATATTCCAGAAGCTGTTCAACTCTTTTCTTGACAGCCACAGTTGAATGTTTTTACTAAAACTTTCCCATCTAAGGGCCAAAAGACAGAAAGGGTTTCACCAGAGAGGGAGTGGGACAGACATGGAGGAAAAAGTTTCCCCAGGGTTACCAAGAACTTCTGGAAGAGCTGGGCTGAGCACAAGACCAGGCTGCCCAATGGATGGTGAAATGCACTTCCAAATGGAAATAGGTAACCAGGCAGCAATGGATCACCCTCAGAGGGATCCAGATCTAGAGTTCTCCCAGCTCCCAGGAGCTGCAGAGCCAGAGGAGAACCTCCAAAACATACAAAGACTGGGTTAGTACCCCTTGCCCTACTGGCAGCACCAGGCACAACCAAGGAGAGTTCATCAGACCCAGAAATTTCACCACCAAAGTAACTCCCTTTAAATCCTAACTAAAGGCCACAAGCCTATTGCAAGCTCTCAACCCAAAGTCAGCAGCCCACCACTCCCAGGGAGCATTAAAGAAGAGCTTAAATGTCCCCAGAACAAAAGCTACTTGTTTTTTTCATGAGTGCAGCTGAGACCCAAAGCCCAGCAGCAGCACCAAAGCTGCCCCCTGCACCTTTCAGGTCCTTTTCCCTTCCAGCAGGGAACAGTCAGAGGTATTCCAAGAAGAGCAGCAGCTCTCCAGAGAGGCTGGAGGAACAATATTCTTGAGAGACAGGGAAGGTCTCCCTCCACAGCTGGGGAAATCATCTCATCTGACCCCACTGAGGCTGCACAATACTATTCCTAGAACTGGTGCAGAAAAGGAGCAGGAAAGTTGTCTCTAAAAAAGCTGTTTCTAAGCACTGCAACAGCGCTGAAGGCACAGACTGACATTTGAAAAGCGAGTCCAAAGACTAACAGGGATTATCACCACCCACGCACAGCTGTCTGATAGGCAAATGCAAAATTAATGTGTTCTTCTGAAGAGATCAATACTGTCTTGCTAACATTAGCAGGCAGAGCCCAGAAAAAAGAGAAAACAGAAGCACAGGCTGAACAACTGGCTTCAGATTCTCAATGGCAGAGGGCAACAAAATTCAGACCAAACAAAAAGCAGGAGCCACAGAACCTCAGGTGAGCTCAGCTAGTCTGTAACACAGCCCCCTTGTACCTAGAATAAGATGTCTAAAACTGTCTGCCAGCAACATGAATCATCACAAAACAAAAACCAATCAAAAATCCACCATTTGTTCCACAAACTTTCTTTTGTTTTTCTGAGCTGCATACCCATCTACTACTCCACACAGACCCCAACTCAACATTCTCCTATCTTACACCTTTTCTTGACCAATGTAAGTGGGAAATCACCTTTTCTTAGCCAATTTTAAACCTTCTGCTGCCTTAGGAGCTATGTGCAATGAATCATCTTCTGCAGATTCAAGTCAAGAGAGCATTCAAAAAGGTTCTGGTGCTACATTGCTCTGCTGCCTTATGTCAACCCCCAGCAGCAATGATGCCTTTAAAGTTCAAATACAATACTGGAAATCTCAACATTATTAATCCTCCCACAAGTTTGGGGACTGCAGTCTCCAGGAAGAGACATCCTTAACCCAGGCCTTAGGCTGGACTGTGTTTTCCTACAAGGTGCCAAAATAATACAAAATAATAATAACACATCACATCTGCAAATTGAGTTGCTAATTCTCACAACAATTTCAAGTCAGAACCTGTTCCAGGCATCTGTGGAGTTATGCCAGGAGCAAGTGTAGCCCTGGACCTGGATAAATTCTTACTGAATACAAGTTGCAACATGACAAGTTTGCCCAGACCAAGATCTGCTTTGGATATGTTCCTGTGAGAGTTCCTGCTCTCACTAGCCAGTCCAGGAGCTTAAAAAATATTATTTTTTATATTCCTACTTTCCACTGGGCTCTGGGTTTCTTTTCTGCAAGGACTGCAGGAGGGAGGAGACAGAAAGCCTTACAAAGAATCCTTTGGGATCTGATCTGATTCTATGTGTGCAATAACCACATGCAGAACTGCCTTTTTTTCCTCTTGCTCAAAGCCTGTTATTTGGCCAGAAATACAACATTAGTGGCTCCTTGGGGTAAAATTATTTTCACTAGAGCTATGACAACATCCACCAACTTTTTTCAGCCTGCTGTGTAAATAAGGGACTTTTTGTAATATCCTGTGCAGAAGCTGAGCACAGGAAAAACAGCCTGACATTATGTAATGAGTGTTGGCCACGCAGTCACTCACACCCAGCCCAACATGCCCCTCTGGCCACTGACCTGGATTTGCACAGACCTCAGACTGGTACAGGGCAGGGCTTCCCTTCAGAAAATGTGAGATCTCAGAAAAGCATTGCTAATTTGTACATTTATATCCACCAGCAAAATCAGTATGGTTAGTACATCCCCAAATGCACCAGCTCCTGGAATCATGCAAACAAGAAGCACCCAATTTTATTTAACAAAAAGCTCCTTTTCAGACTTCATCTTAAACATAGCATTAGAAGGGCCTTTATATGAGCACCTTGCCACCCCTCAGCTCCCAGGCACAGCAGCTAAAATCCATTATTCCCAGGAAATGCCAGCCCAGCTGATCCTCAAACACCAACACTGCGGTTAAACACTTTGCTTAGACCTGTTTGGCATTTCAGTGTACTGATCAAATAGTTGAGGGAAAAGAAAAAGCTTAAAAGACAAGTTTCCACATGCACTTTGAAGTATTAAAATAGCAGAAAGCAAGGAAAAATTATACTTTTTTTTTTTTTTTGGTAGAAAACATGGTTTTAAAGCCAGCTTCATGATTTCTGGGATCCCAAGAGGTGCTTTCAGATGATGTGGGGTTATCAGTGTTACAAATCCCCAAGCACCCATCACACAAACAAAACCCAGCTTCTAATTCAGACTCACAGGACTTCTCATCTCCTGTTTAGCCACCAGAAGTTCCCTTTGCATCCAAGAGATGCACCTGCAGCATTTCTCAATATCACCCATGAGATTTAGGGGTTGTATCTGCCCAGCTTCAAATCAGAGCCAAAGCTGCCGAGATGCCAGGGGATGAAGATTGATACATTTCCCCCAAAAAAACCACTTCCTTCATTTACATCTGAGACTTCTCTCCCCGCCACAACATTGTCTCCCCAGCCTTCTCCACTGATGTTGTAGGAAGCAGTCATGCAGTGGGGACTGAAAAAACAAAAGGAGCCCAGTTTGTGTTAGAGAATAACCTGAATAATGAGTAACCTGGACACCATCAGCAGGATTTTAATTATGAACAAAATATCACTTCCCAGAAGAGGTTCTAAAAACAGAGAGCAGGGCATAAAGGGGAAGAAGGTGTCCCTGAAGACCCAGCCAATTAATATTTCAGCAAAACTCTTCCTTTTTACCAGAACTCCATTGCTTGCTTTTCACCAGAAATATCCCCAGAGATTTACTTTCTTCCACTCCCTAATTAACTTGTATTAATCTTTCCTCTGCTTCTATGTGACTTTGAGGACTCAAATTCAGATGTCTCTCCTCCCTTGCACATCTGAGGTGTGGGACACCTGGCAGCAGGCAGCACAGCACCCAAAGCTGTGTTGTGTGAAGACCTGGATCTGAAGGAGACCCTGGCTGCAGGGAGCTCCTACTGCACTTCCCTACATCCCCTTGTGCCTCGTGCTGGCTGCCTCAGGGAAAAGTAAAGAATATTAAAATGAGTAATTATCCCTTCTTTTACACCCCCAGACTGCAACAACAGAGATAGCAATTACAACTGTAACCATCTTATTGTATTAAATGGTGGCAAATGGTTTATTCTGTTGGGACTTCCTGCTGCCTTTTCCATCTAAACGTAGCACCAAAGGCATGAACAGACTGCACATGGAGAATGAGATCACAGGTAACAACATTAACACAGCCTGCATTTATCAGCTTTATTTACCTTTATGTGATAATGTACCTAATTACACACAGTGCTAACAGGCAGGGCATGAAAGGCAGAGCTGTCACAAGCAAGGGGAGTTGTGCTCAGGTCACCCACCCAGACAAGGTCTGAGCTTGACTTTACACCTCGTTTCCAAAGTGATTTGCTAAGGAGGAGACAGATGGGCTGCATGCTGCATGTCAGAGGCCACCTGTGTTAGTCTTCATGCAGGGCCAGAATGGCTACAGACACGTGCAGGGCAGTTCTCAGGATGGTGCCAATATTCCCTTCCAGGTGAAGGGAAACATTAATCCTGGGGACCCTTTTCAGCCAGGGCAAAACCTGGCACTCAAGAAGAGACCAAACACCTTTTCTGGAATAAGGTGGGAACCACTGTCTCAAAAAACAAGAATGTGACTGTCTCTGCTCACTCAGGAGCAAAGTCTGGTGTCCCAGGAGCCAAGAACCTCAAGAGACCATGCATGGCCAAGAGACAGAGGAAGGAGAGGGTTAACAGACATTCTGTAGCGTCTGAAACAGAGCAAACTTCAGAAAACACCAAATAACAGAAGTTTAGCACTCCTCTCCCAGGTAATGATATAGTTTTGAGAGCACAGCTGGTACCAGGTCACCCAAATCCCCCAGTACCACCACACCAGGGTCGTTGGTTTGGCACTGGCTGAGCCAAAACACAGCAGAGATGCCACTGGCTTTTGGCACAGCAACTCTTCCATGGGAAGCTGACAGCACAAATTGTCATTTTCTAGGCAATGCCATTTCAACTTTAGCAGGCCAATATACTCTGAAAAGGAGCATTGAAAACTGGCACTTTCATCCCTCCCAGACATACTCCTCAGTATATTTAGTAGTGTGTCCACAGGTTTGGATAACAAGCAAACCTGTATTCTGCTGCACCAGGAGACAATGTCTGATTCAACTTCAGTCTCCATTTCCCCAAGACAAGACATCACAATCCTCTTTAAGCTAAAGACCACCTGAGCTTTTTCAATATAACCACATTGTAAAAAATCATATTAAAAACCACAAAAAAATCTCACACCATCCCCCTCCTTTGACTTTAAAAACAGCAGAAAATAGCAGCTAGCATTGAACTTGATTCACATGCCCTTTCCTTTGCTACTTGCTCATCCACACGTACAGAAGATGAACAGCCGTGCCCCAAATAATCCCAGTTATTTTGAAAGACTCAGGATGAGAAAAACAGTTAATAAGGTTTGTCTATCCCATTCTCCCCCAAATCTGCCCTCTTTGCTTTTCTGGAAAATCTTTGGGTCTAAAACCTTAAACATCATCAACATTTTTGACTCTTTCCAAAAGTCAAAAATAGAAAGTAAGTACTACAGAAAGGCAAACTTCTCATTCACCTACTCCTAAGGACTAAGCAAATATAGCACAGGGGAGTTCTTACCTGCCAGGGCCTGGCTCACCCTGCTGGGTTTGGACATCTTGACAGGCAAGGCCTGGACACTAGAGAGAAAAAAAAAACAGGTTACTTTTAACAGCAAGGATCAGAGACAAACAAAGACAATTCAGCAATGCAGTGCTCCCTCCTGAGTGCCAGGGCCCTGGATATATTAACAGGGACTAATTGCTCAGATGAGCCCCAGCTGGGACCCTCACCCCTTCTCCCACTGGTCCAGCAGCTGTACTTAAGGAGCTGTGTCTGCCAGAGCTCTCTCCTAGACTTACTTACCTGCAAGGAGTGTCTTAGAGCTATGCTACATGTAGCTGCTCCCAGCCCCATCTTCTCCTAACTCATCCATTCCTCCTGCTGGACCCTGCTCTGCTCCTGTGCTAGATCCCTGCTCTTGCCACTCCCCCACAGAGCTTCCTGTGAGCAGCCAACCTGCACTACACATCCAAGGGGATGTGGGAAGAAAGGCTGAAGGAGACCTAGAAGAGCTTGGCCTGTTTTCATTTGGAAATGAAGAGAAGATGGACACCAAACATGCCTTCCAGGTCCCTCACCTACTTGTTTTGGCAGTGCTGGCAGCTGAACTACTTCAACTTTGGAATACATGGGCAGCCAGGGTTATGCCATTAGCTGGCAGCAGGAGATAGGGAGGAAAGAGGAGCAGCAGCATCAGTGCTGATGGGGGGTCTCTAGAGAAGAAACTGAGCTGGATCCACATTAGCAGAGCAGGAACACTTGAAATCCAAACACTGGCACAGAGAACACAACATGGATTTTGTCTCAGGTGGCTCATGTGCCTGGGATGGATGAGGCTCATGGCCCAGCAGCAGTTAATATATGGTGCATTCAGACAACAATCTCCAAGGACTCTCCAAAATTAAACAAAGCTGGCCAGCTGCTTAGGAATTCAGAGACTAAGGTGGTCAAGAGCTTAAATCTCACCCACTATTAAGGGGAAACCTTCTTGTGTCCAGCTGGGATGCAGAGCTGCCCTGCCCAAAAAGGTACCACAGAGTTTCCTCCTTTCAATCTTACTAAGTCTCTGCTCACATTCACATAACAAGGACCAGGGCTGAAAAGATTTTTGAGTGATACAAGGCTGTTTTCCACCCTGCCTGTCCCCTCTCCTACCTGTCACAGTTTGGAATAGGCTCCCACATGTGTGCTGGCCTCCCTGAAGAAGCCTGGGCAGGACAGAGGGCTTGGTGCAGCTCTGGCAGTCTGGCCAAGTGAGATCAGCACCCCAGACCCTTATAAAGCTCTCTGGACCACAGAGATTTCCCTCCTGCCTCTTTCAAAGGCTGTGCTTTCCCTTCTGATGCCCCAAATTTTGCAATGCCTTCAAATGATGCAACAGATTCTTCTGGCAACATTTCAAACCCATCAAACACAGGGAAAATCTTCCCCATGATTTCAAAGGGCTCTGAATCAAATGTCTTTATGACTCTGTTTTCTTTCCTGATTCACCCTCTTTGTCACAGCTCTTTCTTAGGTATTTCTCTACTTTATCTCATCCTGTTGCTTCATATCTGCCCTTATGATCCTCTTCAGAAGATGGCAAGCAGCAGGACTCTTGTTCTCCAGCTGCAGACATGAAGGATATTTGAGGACCAGGCATTTGACAGAACTGCAACCCAAAAAAATCAGAGACATTTGACCTTCCCTCATTTCCTCCTGAGAAGCCAAGAAGGCTCCACTGAGCCTGGGCACCCCCTCCACCCCAGGCTGTGACTGATACAGAAGTTTGTGTTTTGTTGTCATGCCCTGAGATGAAACATCACCTTGGGTGCTTTCACTTCCCCATGGAAGGTAAAAATAAAATAAAGCAGAAAGCTAAACCTTCCACTGTACCAGGAAAAGAGATAGAGGCAGGAAATCCTTCCAATGGGCTGGAACATAGGGTCATTACACTTGTAACCATGCTTTGAAAGGATGACAGAGAAGTCCTTCACTCTTCTTTTCTTACTGTGAGACTCAAATCCAAGTCATCCATGAGTTAGAACTTGTATCAAGTTGTCCTGGTTTCAGCTGGGATGAAGTTCATTTCCTTCCTAGTAGCTGGTATAGTGCTGTATTTTGGATTTAGGATGAGAATAATGCTGATAGCACAGGGATGTTTTAGCTGTTGCTGAGCAGTGTTTACACTAAGTGAGGCCTTTTCTGCTCCTTACCCCACCCCAGCACTGAGGAGGCTGGGGGGCACAAGAAGCTGGGAGGGGACACAGCTGGGACACCTGACCCCAAGTGACCCAAGGAATATTCCAGACCACAGGATGCCATGATCAGTAGCAAAACCAGGGGAAAAACTGACTGGGGGCTGCTGCTTGGGAATGACTGGGCATTGGTCAGTGAGTGTGAGCAATTGCTTAGTGCATCACTTGTTTTGTACGTTTCAATCATCATCAGCATTACGATTTTCCTTCCCTTCTCTGTCCTGTTAAACTGTCTTTGTTTTAACCCACAATTTTTACTTTTCTTTTCTTCCAATTGTCTCCCCCTTCCCCCGGTGGAGGATGGAGTGAGTTGAGGGGCTGTGTGGTGATTAAATGTCTGCTGGGTTAAACCACAACAGAAGTGAGAAGAGCCCTTGAGATCTGCAGAGAGAAACAGATAAGCACTTGATGCATTTGCAAGCAATCAAGTTTGGGAAGCTGTGAGTGCACTGCAGATAAATTACCATCCATGAGCCAAGAAACAGTCACTGATCAGCTGCACTCCTGGTGTAAAGGCAAAGTGTGTCAGCTTTGGCTGCTGGAGGATTTGAGCCAACTGATGTGACGATGGAGAAATCAAATACTTGTTACTTCACTAAATACACACATTCATTAGCAGTATCTCAGCTAACAGTGCTGGGGGTTATGCTGACCCATCACTCTGCACCGTGGGAGCAGTGCTGCCACGCTCCCGGAGTTCTGTTACAACTGCAGAAAGCCCAAAGGCTGATGAAATCAAGGGAAATCCACACTGCTCTGAGGTACCACAACGCTGTCTGGGCAGATCTGCAGTCACAGTGCGTGGGAGGAAGTGCTGCAGTGCCAAAAAAGGTGAGGAAATGCTCCTCAGAGCCTACCCTGGGATTGAAGTAGGGGTTTGAGAGGAGGAAGGGGATGAGGTAACAAGGAAGGCTATTGCTATTGTAGTGTGATGTGAACTGTGCATCCAACAATGGAACAGCACAAGCTCAAGATATTCCAGCATTGCCATATTAGTGCTGGCTTCTGGGGAGAGGTCGTGCTCATTTATTGAAAACAGCTCAGGGGAAAAAATGATGTTTTGGGAGAGGGAGATCTGGATAGCATCAGTGCAAGAGCAAGCACTGCAGTGTGGAGAAATGAGGAGCCACAGAGACACCTGCTCCTGCTGCTCACGGAGATTTCTTACCAGGCAGTGCCTTTGACTCCTGGCCAAATGTTCTTGCAGGTGCTTGCAACACCTGACAGTCAATGCCAGAATTCTCTGACTGTGTCCTGGTATCAATTCCTCCTTCCTGGTTCCATTTTTTCCTGTTGTTTGCTGCAGCTCCTGCTCTCCCACTGCTCTGTGTGCTGGATGTTTCTGAGTTTAACAGGGATCACCAGGTTGTGAATAAAAGGATGTAAAATATGACAATGTTCTCAGAGATTCAGCAAGAAGATCCTGGTAAGATTTCCTACCACTGGTTCCCAGGCAGTCTGCTACAGGAGGCAGACAGGGCAGACAGATTTCAGCATGACAAACCCACTTGCTTCTCCAGAATTTCAAGAATCTGCAACACCAGTGAGACAGCAAAGCACAAGTCCAGCAAGGAACTGTGTCAACAGCTTGGAATCCAGGGATGCTGCCACTTCAAACGTTGGGTGGCCAGGTTGGAGCCATCACCTGAGCCACACATACACAATACCCCAACGGAGCAGAACTGGGGAAGCCTGTAGGAACTCACCCTCTCCACCTGATATGGCCTTTTCTTCCTTCCTCTCCCCTGCACACAACCAGCAGGCCACAGATATCTGTATCATGGCGTTTTTGTAACCCTCTGGGCAACAGCCAACACTTCTCCTCACAGATCAGGGCAGCATCCAGCCCTACTTCACACTACCACAACACCTGAAGGTCCAGACCCCTTCCCAGGGCTCACTGAGTGTGAGATGACATTAATGACCACACCTGGTTTAGCCCCATGCTGGCTAAAAGGGCTGCAGGACAGCTCACAGTGGGCACAGTGGAACCAGCACCAGGAGAGCTCCTCACCACCCAAGGAGCTCATGGGAATGTCTATGGACAAAGCTGAAGGATACAAAGGTGGAGAGAAAGAAGGAAAGGCCCTAGTTAGGGTCCTTTCTGATCCTACAGAGCACTGACTGTGTGTTGTTCCCCATGGGAGATTTGGAGTGCAGCACCTAAACACCCCAATTCTGTCAGCATCCTTTTCCAGCTCCCAAGACCCCCACTCCCCCTGATTTTATACAAAATCCTGCCCCCATGAGCTGCCTGTCTTATTGGTAGGCACAACCCAGGCCAGCAGCTAAAGCCACATAAGCTCAGAGAAGCCTGCAGAACTACTGTAGGGATTTGCCTGGCTGGGACACTAATTAATATCCCTCAGAAGATTGCTTCCTGCAGCTTTACTCGCTCATATTACAAGCAGGGCACTCCTTACTGTTCTTCAGGAGTGCCTTACTCTGTAATTAGACAGCACAGTGCAGGGAACAGGGGAGCTCTTGCCCTAGGGAATTGATGCTTTCCCATGTGGGGTGGGAAGGATTTGCCAGGAGGAGGCTGGGATCCTGGTTAACAGTGCTGAGGCAAGGACAGCCCTTGCCATGGCACACTCCATGCGCAGATTCCAGCCCTGTCCATGACAGAGGCCAGATTCATTAACTGTGTTTAATCCACAAGAGGAAACTAATGCACCAAAAAGCAAAATAACTTGCCCACATGCATGTAATTTATTAGAAGCGTAGCCAAGATATTAGCATCTAGTTAAGCCTTGGCACCCCTCTCTGGGTTTTCCAGTGGCTTTGACCCTCTTGAGAGCAGGAGGAAATTAAAGTGCATTTGGCAGTGCTGGAGTTCCGCCTGCTCTCACACCAGCATCCGCCCTCCAGCAAGCAGGAAATGCATTTAATCACCCTCAGTGGCACAGCAGCCTGGGCATGCCTGTTCTGGGGGCTACCCCTGCCTGCCTGCCTGCTAGAAGTAACTGCCACAGCCACACAGGGAGTCAGGCAGCTTTCCAGCACAAACTGCACCTCGTTTCAGCCCTGCAAGAGAGAGGTGCTGCCATTTTTAGCTGTGTTTCCTAAAGAAACTGGGTGTAAACAACTCCACCGCCTTTCAGGCTCTCTTCTGCCAGTTGCAGCTCAGCCACCTCTGCAAGTCTTATGGAGATTAGCAGTTTTGTAAAAGCAAGTAATCTGTCAGGGCTGCTTTGGAGCCAAAGCTTGTGGGGTAAACACAACACAGCCTTTAGCAGACACCAGAGGATCCACTGTGGCCCAGTGCTCCCTTCCCTTGGGTCTCTGAGCATGGGCCAGCATGGGAATTGCACATCACAGCTAAGAGAATACAGCCAGAAACCTGTAGCAGGATAATTAATGCAGGATAATTAGCCAAAATGGTTAGACTGTAGGGTGATGTGGGGCATTGACTGCAAGGGAAGGGGAGCTAACCACCATGCTGTGTCTGAGCGAGGAAGACAGGGAACCCAGTGGATAAAATAACCCAGGAATGCTCTGGGCTTAGGAATTAAATGAAACACATTGTTAGAGTTTGCTACTCAGGTTTCCTCCAATTCACAGAAATTAAAGGATTTTCTGCTGGGACATGGGTTTCATGAGCCCAAGACTGTAACTCCAGCCAGGAGCAATTACACCCACCCAGTGGCATTTCCGACTCAACGCCAGCACAGGGCTGATGAGGAAAAGCCATCCCAAGCTGTCAGCTGGGAATGAAAAAGTCCCTTTCACATATGGCACGCTGCTGGAAGACAGACTGCCCCCCTGTGTGCACTTATTGTCCTGGCAGGGATAAAGGAGAGTTGCAAAACTAATCCCAAAGGACAGGAGATCACACCCCAAGGGAAGAGACAGCAGCCAGAGGAGTGGGGCTCACTGGGGGTGGGGGTTTTACACAAGTCTGGCAGCACTCACACACTCCCAGGTATCCAAAGAGCTGCCACCTGCCCTGTGTGGCATGTCCTGCTGTCCTCAGCCTAGATTTAACTGCATAATCCCTTTGCATCCCCCAGAAAGGCTGGCTTGGCTAGGGATGATTGCCAGGACACCAGCCACATCACCCCCTCCACAACACAAACAGATGAGCTGCAAAATAGGCTCAAACAGCCCAACCTCAACCAGCCATGGGCACCTCCTGGCATCCCTTCCTCCCAGTCAGCATTGCCTGGGCCATGGGCTCAGTGCATGGTCAGGAGCCCATGGCAACCTCCTCCAAGCATCTCTCTCCCATCCTCCCTCCTTTCAGGACAGCCTGTCCCCCCACCAGTAGCACACAACATACCCAGACCCCGATCAGCTCCAGAAAGGCTTGTGGGACAACTGCTGCAGCACTTGGCTCTTCCTTTTCAAACTCCCCACCCTGAGTCACTCTGCAAATCCTCTGGGGAGGGATGGGGCTTCAGGCAGCCCAGTGGCCCCACGCACCCACCAGCAACTCCTGCAAGAAGGGGATTTTGGCAGCTTCTTCAGGGGACAGCAAGAGCCTTACTGGGGGCTCCTGCAGGCAGTGCTGAGGTCAGATTTTCAGCCCTCCTCGAAGGTGACTGGAACAGAGAAGCACTGTGGATGCCTAAGGCAACACAAAAAGTCACCAGGTGGAAAAAAAGCCCCCAAAATAAGACTGTGAGAAAGAAGAACAGGATGTGAGAAATCATTTCACTCGGATGACCCCAAAGAGGAAAAGTCCCAACACGATACTCAGAAAAACATCTCAAGATTCACAGTGTTGTCTAAAACACAAATGAGATTCAAAACAAACCTCAAACCCCAGTGCCTCGTGCAATTAGCAGAAGAGATCTCTGCTAGATCTCTTATCTCTATACTTACTTGGACAGGTAAATCAGCCCTGGCAAGTTCCCCTGCAGTTTCTCAGGGGTTCAACAGCTGGATTACTCCCAGTGAAGTGAGTGTAAGGCTCTGCCACTTCCAGCCATTCACAAACAGAGGGAGCAGTCAGCCAGCCCTTGCTGGATCACTCTGGGTGCCAGCACTGCCACAGACAGGCCACACACACCTCTGCCAGCAAGGGCTTGAGCACAGGAAGAGTTAAGATCCTGAAAGTGGAATAACCAACTGTGGCTTGCCCCAGCAGCCCATGCCATGGAGAGGAGCCGGGCTGTCGGACCACAAGCCTCTGCTCTTCATTGAGCTGGCAGCAACCAAAAGGCCTGAAGATAAGTGAGGCTCTTCCTCCCCCACCAGAAAGGTGCAAACACAGCCCTCCTTTGGCTCTAGCTGACAGGAGGTGAAATCCTGGGCTGAGAGATGCACACTTGTTCCAGCCCGGTCAGAGAAGTGCCACAGAGAAAATGAATCCAGTGGTACCTCTGCTCTTCATCACCACTTAGCCTGAAAAATAGCCTGGACACCTGATTTTGACAGAGAGGTCATGAGGTCTCAGCCACATACAATGAGACCTGTGATCCCTCCTTGAAGGGGAAGAGCTTAGAATGAACAGAGCAGTGTTCCAATCCATTTAATTTGAATTAAGTGTGTTTACACGTTCCCTTTTCCTTCCCCATGAATTCCCCTCAAAGTTGCTTTTTAACCTAACCCAAAATACCACTGCACACTATTAATTTTTTCAAACCTTCAGAATCTCAACTTGAGTGAACTGCCTTGTGGTTCAGGGAGACTGATAGACAGGGACTGTATTTAAAATGGGAAGAAATGAGGTAGAAAGTAGAGGGGAAGTCTCTTCATCCACTGCACTGGATATACAGGCACAAACCTCTCCCTCCTAGGGAGAAGACCCTGGGACAGAGAGGCTCCTGGATGCAGACCTGAGCACAGCAAATCTCTTGGACATAGATATGGTATTTAAAGGTGAATTAGGATCTGTACCTGACTCCATTAGATGCTGCCAATGCTGCACTGAGGCTCCCAGTCTGAGCCAAAACCAAGGTGTTCTGTGCATTGAGTCTTGGTGTTGACCTTGCTCCAGTCAAAGCGGGTTTGTTATAGGGCACGAAGCCGACGTTGGAAGAACTTACTGACGCTGTCCTCCCGGGAACCTGATGAGTCGTGGAGGAGTTGGGAAAGTTTGTCATGGAGTGACGGTAGCGTGTGGTGATGGGGCCAGTCCCGCTGTTTGGCCAGCACTGCTGGCAAGAACATCCCACCCCTGTGTGAAGGGGTGTGGTGGCGGTCGTCACCGGGTACGGGGCATCCAAACGCCTCTGAACGCTGCGGCGGAACCTCGTGCTCTTGTTGGTCTGCACTTGAGCCACAAAGTCAACTTCGTAGTTGTAGCCCAAGGGCCCGAGATCCACTCGCTGGTGGTTGGTGGCACGGGCCTGCTCCAGGAACACGCAGACGTTCATCTCGTACGGGGACCACCCGCCCTCGTCGTTCTGCCACTCCCAGACAATGCCCTGCCCAGCAGCAGAGTCCCCTGGGAAGACGTGCCTGCGGACAGCCCGCATCGTCCCTGTGTGGGAGAGAAGGGGAGAAGAAACACAATTTAGCCAGCAGAGAACTAAGAGAGAGGTTGTTGCAGGGATTTGTTTCTGCACAGATCCATGCTGCCTACTTTGGGGTGGCCTTTCTCATTCTCCCTCAAGAGGGGCACTAAAAGACCGTCTCTTCCCAACAGGGTTGGGTTTGCTCATGAAGCTTAGAAAAACACATCCCTGAGATCCCTGTTCCTCTGCCAAATCTGATTGTGGGCTGGCAGCAGGTTCAAAAGCTGCAAAGAGGAAGGGTGGGAAAGGAGGGAAGGAGAGAGGATGCAGACGCAGACACACCCAAGCACAAAGGCACAGTGATCACATATGCCTCCCTGACGTTAAAAGGAGAAAAAAAGGAAAACGGGAAAAAAAATCAGGCTGAGGCACAGATCTGGTTAAAAAAAAAACCAACTCCCACAGCCTTGACAACAGAGTAACTATAGAGACAAGACACCATTGGGAAGTGCTTTGTAGGAGCACTTAAGGGGTTGAACGCCCACTTTGTTACACAAGGGTCGGGGCAATTTTGGTCTCGGGAGAGTGGGTGAAGTCCCACAAGGGGGCAAGGGCAAGGACTCTGGAGAAGGGCAAACTTCTGCAGGCTCCTGGCTGCTGGGAGAGAGAGCAAGACTAGAAAGGGGAAGACAATGAAGAAACTTGACAACAGGAGAGAGCAGCTGTCGAGACAAAGGGAGAGAAATGGAAGGAGAAACACTACTCTTGCAAGACCACCCGACAGTGACAGCTGGAGCTTGAACTCCCTGGAAGCCTAGCTTTCCAGGATGACTTCACTCCTGGGTACTTTATCCCCTGCTTCAAAAAAGCAGCAGCCTAATGAGAGGGAAGGAAGCCACCCAAAAGGACAGAAGCTCTGTAACCTTTGAAAAATGGGTTATTGCAGCAGGGTCAAAACTGCTACTGCAGGAAAAACCCTCAGCAGCATTCTGCATAGAGGAAGAGGAGAGGGAAATGCTGTGAGGAAAGCAAGTCTGGGGATCTAGGAAGGTGAGGGTGAACAGGCGAGCGAGTTGTAACAACACAGGAGGAGTTCAAAGAAGAGCACCAAGAGGAAAAAAAAAGAAAGTAAAATAAAGCCTCTAAAGAGGTCATGAGAGTTATGGCATTATGTTCCAGGACCCCAGGTGAAATCTGGCATGTTTACAAGTACCCACACCTAAAGCCTGAGGAGAACTACCCCAGAGTATCACTGGAGACTCTGTGGGGCACAAGCAGTCCAGGCAGGCTTCACACCCAACAAGTACATTCCAAAGAAGAGGGAGGACAGCCCACGTGGGACTCCACACTGCCAAAAATCCAGCTGCTGCTGCATTCAGGCTCTGCCTGACTGCATGCTGCCATGAGGATCATGCTGCTGTTATTGTACCCAATAGTTGTGAAAACTGTGTTTCCTTATCCCAGCATTGCTGAAGCTCCAGAGCTGACACAAAGGCTAAGGCTCCCTCAAAGGCACAATGTGCAGGACCAAGAAATGCCAGGACTGGTGTTTCTCCTCCAGAGCAGCACCAAGCATCCTGCTCATTGCAGAACAGGACTCTCCAGTGACACCAGCCAACAAACAACATCTCATCAGCACACTCAAAACACTACTAGCAGCCAGTCCAACACAGCAACCTACCCAATAGCTCAACCATGGAGCTTATGATTCCTGTGGGACCAGACCTTCCTCTGGCAGAAACTATCAGCAGAACCAAAATGACCTTCCCAGCCTGGAATTGATGTCTTGGTGGAAAAGCAGACTAAACAGCCAAAAGCAAATGACTGTTCCTATCCAGCAAGTCTTGCCAAGTTTCAGAAACACAAACAGCCTCAAAGGTGGATAACTTCAGGAATGAACCCCTGAGCAGGAGGAGGACTAGGGATGGGACTGACTGGGAATGAGATGGTGAGACATGCATTACATTTAGAAATGAGTGGAGGGAACCTGCTCCCAGAGAAAGGGGACTACTACAGGTAAGGCAAGGTGTCCAGTGGGACACATCTCAAGAGATTAACAAGGCTTCCCCTGCTCCACTGGCAGCTCAGAAGCTAAAAGCAGCACAAAGAGGACTGCAGGACTTGCAAGCAACTTGTGTTTTTAACACCCTCAAACAGCAGTAGAAAGAAGAATTTTTACGAGTCAACAAGAAGACGAATGCAATGCACTTGGAAAAAACCCCCCTTCCCCCAGGCTGGCAGGGAAACAGCCATTCCTCTCCAGGGTGGGCAAACAGCTGTGGTGAGAGGACAACTCCTGCTGCTCCCCTCCACTCACTCCCAGCTAATCTGCCTTGAGCACAGCTGAAGCCCACAGCTAATCCTGCCCACAAGATCCCCCCGCACAGCTGTCATTCCCTGCTGCTGGGGACACTGCTCCCGTTAACACTGGCTTCCTGTTATTCTCCCTGGCTTCCTTTGAAGAGCCTATTTATCTGTCTAATAGCTAATGAGCAGAATACAACAGCCTATTTTTTGCACTGTTTAAAGATTTTTCATGGGGATGTTTCCTGTAGAGATTCTTTTCTCCAGCACATGACAAAGTTCAGCTGGCAGCTCGCTCAGAAAGGTTCACGTTTAAGGCAGAGCCTTGCAGAGAGAAAAAGCTTTGCTTAGAACTGGGCCATGGCAAGGGGAAATGAGAGCTTTTCCAACAGTCACGTTGCAGAGCACACAGGTATTTGTGGAGGGAGGTTCACAGCACTGGCCCCTCTGATCAGCATCACTTTGGATCAATGGGAAACACTGCAGGAGAGCTGTGGAGCAGAATCAACCTTTTTGTTATTAACAACTGAAACTCAGATCTAAACCAACGAAAGAATGAGATCATACCAGCCAAAATAATTTCCAGAACTGAACTGGACTGTCCTCCAGAGATGAACAGCTCCAAACCACCCTCCAATGGACAATATTCACTGAGTGTTTTGAGATCTTTCAGAAGAGTCTAAAGAGAAACAAACCCTCTAAGGACAGACAGCTGCACTGGGACACATTTCTCCCACCCCACAGGCTCTCTCCTCACCTTCACCAGACAGCTTAGGACTGCTGTCTACAGGTTTGAGCACTGGCTGAAAGACCCAGAGGCTGGAAGTCTCCTTCACAAGTTTGGCATGAAAAAACCAAGAGAGAAACAGCTACTGATGCCAGCTCTGGTGGTCCACACTGTACCACTCAAACCCACAGCCTCACCTGGCCTTCCAGATGTTTAAACACGCCAAGCTGAGCACACCTGCCAGGGCATCCAGCTTAGAAAGCTCCTCACCTCACCCAGGACACCACTAGATAAACTCAGCCTAAGGTCACCAAATCAGGATAAAAACACGGATGCAGCTGTGATGACCACTCACATTTGCTCCAACCACTTCCCTTTCCTGCCAGAATTGGCTGATCATGCAGCTGATTCAAAATATTGCTCATTTACTGTTTCAACTGGCAAGAAACCAACACATGGCCCTCTTTAAAGTTTGGGATGATGCTCAACTGCGTCCTGGAGTGATGGGAGAGACATTGACAAAGGGGAAACTGATGGTTGGAAAATTTTCCAAAGCAGCCATTCATTTGGGGTGTGTAATTTGGGATCTCCCTGGATTTTCCAGGGATGAAGTGCACGCATTCCATCCTTGCCCCTTGTCTAAGCTCCAGCTGCTCAGCACATCTGGAGCAAAAAAGGGCAGGAGTCATCTCTGCAAATTCTGAGCTGCTACTCCAAGTGACCCCAGGGGAGAGGAGAATGAAAATCAGGTCTCATTTCTGCGATTGAGCCCACCCTGCCCTTTCTCCCTGGGAGGAAGTGAGCCAGGCTCACACAGCACAAGTGGAGGGAATATTCTGCTGCAGCGTTTTGGTGTCGTGCGGGGGCCTCAGGCACTTGCAGGCAGCTTGAGCAGGGCTGCATGCCAAGGTAAAGCAGCTGGCACTCCAACTCCAGAGGGAGCAAGGGATTCAAGCAGGAGGGTTGGAATCGTAAAAAGACCTTTTTACGCAAGTGATCTTGAATGGATTGGTGGGGGGGGGGGGGGGGGGAAGTTTCCAGCTCTGAGCTCTGGCTCACAGGCTGGGAGCTCCAGGGGTCCCATGATGATACTCCTGAAGAGATTACGGCTGCCTGCCTGCACCCAGCTCCACAGACAGCAGCAGGAGAGCAGCAGATGTGCTCACAGAGCTGCCCGGCATGGTAACAAACAGCAGAGCTTTGCAGGGCTCTTACACAGAGAACAAGGCCCTGCTTGTCCCCAAGCACATCAACAGAAGGGGTGGGGAAACTCCCTTACCTGTATCCTGCCGGAATTGTGTCAAGCTTGGAATGTCGATGACGTAGGGAGCCAAGGCGGGATCCGCGTGTCCCAAAGGGATGCTGTTGAGCAGCCCTGAGCCTGAGCGCCGGCCCTTCTGCTGAGAGGCCTGGATAACCTGCTCAATGTAGCTGCAGACATTGCCTCGGTACGGCCTCCACCTGCCAAATTCATCCTGCCATTCCCACACGGCCACTGCCGTGGAGCTGCTGCTGTGCCCCGGGGCAGAACCGGGCGGGCCGGACGGCCCGGCTGAACCGCTCCCCGCTCCCTGAGCTGCTGCCATGCTTCTCCCTGAGGTCCGGGCACGCCGCGATTGGAAGTGGCAGCTGAGCTGGCCTTACACCATTTTCTCCTGAGGACCTGCAGCAAGAAACAGAGAGCACAGAGAGCTGAGAATGATGTCCCGAATCGCCACACCCACTGTGGATGTCCCCAGGCACACCCACATCACACAAGCCATCTGAGAGGGAAACAAGCTCCGACTTTCACAGAGGATGTTTGCTATGGACTTAAGAGACTCCAGAGATGCAGACTGGCCTCAAAAACCTCTGGCTGAGGGTGAGTGAGGTACCACCACTCACTCCCTGCCAGTGCTGGCAACTTCTGCTAATTGAGGGCAAACACTCTTCAGGGAGACTCTGTTTCCTATGATTTGTGGCACCAAATGCCACCTGAATCACCACAGATCTGTACCAAACCATCCCGGAGCCACTGCTGATCTGCGTCAGGCAGACCTGTAAGCCTTGGCATGAGCTCTGACAGACACTGACTAGCCAGCAGTGTGCCAAGGCAAGCTGCCATTCTGCCCCTTCCCCATGCTCAGCACTGCTCCTGGCAGCATCACACTGACCACCCCAATGTCAGCTGCCAAATGCTGGCCAAACACTCATTCACAGAAATGACTGAGTTACACAAATGGTTCCCAAACTCTTCACACTGATCTGAGCTCCAGGGCTACACCATCAGCTCCATTCAGGATTCTGACCACTTAGTTTTGGCCCAGGATCAGTCCTGTGACTCCTGTGCAGCATTACACATGCAAACAAAGCCAGAAGACAACTCTTAATTCACAGTTTGCAAATCACAGTACACGTTCTTCTTTAGTTCACTGTGATCCCAGCAAAAGAAACAGATGGGAGGGAGTACAAGAGAACCAGGAGGAACACAGGGCATAATCAAGCTGTGCTGCCTGTGCTGAGGGCACTGATTTAGTAGGTCCTCAAGATCAAAGCACACCTATCTGCAGCTTCTCAGGTTGGAAAGAAAGGAACATCTTGAAATGAGGGACAATCAGAGACTCAAGCCCTTAAGAGATGATTTGGAGAACAGAGAAAGGGTAGGAGCCCTAAAACCAGACAAAGACACAAACTAACAGTGAATAAATTCCAACAAGAAGAGATCACTACTCTCAGCCCCCAAGGGATGTAAAATGAACAGATCCACAGGCCTCACATGATCACCCGAAAGACACCAGAGGTCTGATATTTGACATTCCTTGTCTATTGTGTCATTCCAAGGAATCCAGCCCAAACTATCTGCACACACATCTGCCCAAATGCTGGACAACCACTTGGAGAGCCCCACGTTGGTGCTCGCGTGTAGGTGGGTTTGGCTGTGAATGAATGAAACTAATTTTGTTTTAAAATAAATTCGCCTTCTCCTTTCCGAGGTCTCACGTCATTGATTGCTCGCTTAACTTCCAGCAGTCAGCAGGGAGCCATGAGCTTCCTTCCCATCCAATGGAGAAGTTCAGGTCTCCCAAGAGGCAGAGCAGCAGTGGGTGGCTTCCACTGGAGGATGCCATCTGCACAGAGAATGACATCCCTGCCGGATGGGGGAAGATCCCACGCTCCATGGAGCATCCCATCCATCATGCCCATGTGGCTTGATAGCTTAAAAAAGACAGAGGAGAGTGAGCACAGAACAGACACACCCACACGTCTGCATTTATAAGAGGAAGGCAACAATTTCCCCAGGAATTCAGTGTAAATTAGTTTTTGAGCTGCTCTGAGATTTTACACAACACCCCCAGCTCAACTGGTCCTGGTGACAAATCACTCCAGAGCACCAAGATCCTACCCTGGTCTCTGGTATTAATCTTTTCCTTGTAACCCATTCTTGCCTAACACACCAAGGACAGTTAGTTCACTGCTCAAAACAGCAAATTACGACTCAAGGTATCAAATCCAACACCTGCCTCTGCCACTTCTTTTAAGGCAGGTTTCACACCAACACTTTTCCAGCTCAAGGATCAGCAGCATCATCCATGCTCGACTCAGAGCAGGAGCCAGGCTGTGGCATTTTCTGTCCCACCCACCTGCACTAGGTGCTCTGAACCCCAAATATACAGAACCAACACTGTTTCCCCCCCCAAAGTTATTACCAAATATTCATCTGCAGCCACACGCAGAGCAGAGAAGAGGGAGGCTGTGAGAAGGGAGTCAGCGGTTCGTTTTCCTTCCTTTCTGAAACAGCAGCAGGAAGTGCAGACAAGCAGACACCACAGCAGAAAAGCCACCTCCTTCCCGTGCCACCTTACACTCGCTGGGACAACAGCTGGGTGACAACAGCCTGTCCCTCACGCCGGGGTGGCAGCAGTGCTGTGAATCCTGGACCACATGTGAAGATACCCGGGCTGGCTGCACGAGCGTCGCGTGCTCCAACATCCACTTCCCCATCAGAGTGGAAAAATATTTCCTGTGCTGGGACTGCTGCTCCAAAGGAGGAGCGAGGGGCGTATTTCAGCCTCTTGCCAGTTCTTGCTGAAAGCTGCTGGAGCCAGCAGCTGTTTGCACAGATTGGGAAGTGAGGAATGCACGAGAGCATCAGTAAACCAGAATTACACAAGTCCTGGAGTTATGGGAAACTAAAAAGAAAAGGCCTAAAGTTACAGTTCCTGATTTCTCTTTGAGAATTCAGCAGCACACAAACAGTAAAAGCTGAGAAATTCAAAACTAGAGCTGCTTGTACAGTGTTCTGCATTACACCGCAGCAGAAAGGGTTTGGGGAAGAGTGGGATGTGGTTTGGGATGTGTTACACATCCCAGCTCACATCTTTACTCAAATCCTATGGAGTAGAACACTTCATCTCAAGCCTTAAAAATACCTTGAAAAGCTGAAATTCACATCAACCCTAAAAGCTCTAGTCATGGCTCTAGCCAGAAATCCTCTGGGCCACCCTTCCTCCAGTGAAAACAAAACCCTGGCTAATTCAAGTGCAGACTTAAATACACCCAGATGCCCTTCAGAAGGTATTTGGTAACACAGGCTCAGAGCTCGAAGATGGACTTGTTTGATTGGAACTTTATGCCCAGCACAACCTCTGAAACATTTGTCCACATGGCTTTAATTGGGGACTGGGACAGGAAAAAAACAATGCATTTCAGATGTGTTTTCCAGCAGCTTCACTCCCTGCTCCTCAAACTCCAGCAAATGGTGGTGAGAAAGCTGAAGAACAGGAATTAAAACCTTTGAAAGCTGTGTTTAATTCTCTGTTCTACTTCCAGAAAGCAGAATTTTATTTCTCTTTAAATGCAGGATCTTAAAATTCATGGGTCTGAGATGATTTCTAAAAATGCCAACTCCTTTTGTTAAGTTTCTCAACTTGAATTGCCACCGCTGATAAAAGTTATCACAAAATGTGACATTGTACCTGGAAAAGAAAAAGAGCCTTGGGAGCTCTTGAGCTGGGCTGAATTAAAAATAAAAATCATCAGACTGGTAAAATAGAGACTTTTCAGCAGGTTGTTCAGAAAAGAGAGAGCCCAAGAAGGATCTTTAAACATCTTAGAGTCAGGACTGGGAGGGCACCAAAGATCCCATGGGAAGAGATTACACAGGGATTAGGGGAGCACATAAAGCACAGTGAGGCCACAGGGCTGCAGTAAGACGGGGCATGACTGGAACAGCATTACAAGTGCCCGGTGTCCTCCCCCGACCCCAAACCAGGGCTCCCACACCAGCTGCGCTGCACCTCCGGGCACAGCAAAACCCGATGCAACAGGGTTGGCAGCTGTTGCCAGGTAATTCATACCCAAACACTCCTTTCCTTACACAAGCACCCAGCACCAACCAAAGAGAAAGAACAGAGCTCGGCAGCAGGGAAGGGTCACAGTAATAACTCCAAGCACGCAGACCCATCCCAGTCCTGCCCTCTCCCAGCCTCTGCTGATCCTCACGGCACAAGGTGGCTAGGTTAACAGCCAAAACAACAAGAAATAAACCCGGCTGCTCCAAACCTGGACTGCTTCCATTCAAAACAAGCTTTTAAGCAAGTTCCCCTCGGAGGGGGAAAATACAGACGGCAACTGAGGCGGAACAAAGCGTTTCCCTGTCAGCTAAGCCGAGGGCTGGTTTCGGGCATGGGTGAATTGAAAAACGGAGGCAGCGAGAGGAAAGCAGCTACACCCAGACACAGGATCCCACCTGGACACGGGATCTGAGCACACTTTGCGTCCAACCCGACTACTCCTGGCTCCTTCTGGGCACCCAGGCGGGTCATTTATTCGCGGGGAGACCACTGACGAGTGAGTGAGAAGCTGGCACGATCTGGAGGGCTCCTCCAGCGCCCCAGCGCCTTCGGCCCGTGGCAGGAGCTCCGGAAGGTCCCGCCCGCGGAGCCGGCGGCTCGGGGCCCCCCGCCCCTCAGGGAGCCCCGGGCAGCACCGGCCGCCCACCGCAGCCGCCTGCTGGCTCCCGGTACCACGGACACCGTCGGACCCCACGCGTGCCGGGGGGTGTCCGGGCGACACCGAGCGCCCCGGGAGCTGCGGAGGGGCGGGGGCCTGCTGCGAGGGGAGCAGCGGCCGTGCCTCCGGGCCGCCAGGCAGGCCGGGCCCGGAGCGGCCGCAACGGCCCGGGCGGTCCGTCGCGAACGGCCCGGGCTGAGCGGCACAGAGCACGGGGTGCCGGGGGTGCCAGCCAGCGGGTGCCCGCCACACGAAGCACAGCACAACCCAACCCAGCCCAGCTCCCCGTCCCGGCGCCGCCGTGCCCCGGTCCCGTCGCCCCTCAGCCGCCCCCCGGCCCCTCACCCCGAGCAGGGCCCGCCGCTGCCGCTCCCGGCCCGCGGTCACGGAGCCTCTGCGCATGCGCACGCCAGCCAGCCGCGGGGCGGGCGGGGGCGGGGCCGGGGGCGGGGCCAGGCGGGGAGGGAGGGACGTGATTGGTGGAGGCGTGAGGGCGAGGAACGGCGAGCGCGAG